ATGATTAACTGGGAGAAGAAAGGGGTTTTATTTGGCCTGTTAATGATTCGCTGCTTTCATTACATCCCTATAAAGCAAGCATGCCTTGCCAGTTAACAGCCCTGACCTTACTGGAGCGGGAATGAAACTGGGAAAACTCCCCTTGATGCGTGTGTCCGCAGCCCTGGCATGGTGTGGGGGCCATGTTTACAGCTCCATCCCTCCCTCCATCTGCAGTCAGCTTCTGCAGCAGGGATCATGATGTGCTGGGTCCTGCCTCTCCCAAAGGGGGGAAATCCCTGCCCTGGAAAGCAGACAACTGCTCCCAAATTCATTTGCTGCATGGTCTTAAAGCAGGACCATGACACAGTCCCATCGGCTGTCCAGAGCCCTGCATCCCTCGGGGATGCCAGTGCCCAGTTTACTGCTCCTTTAGATCTTGCAATCAAAGGCACACATGAAATGTCACAATTTGGTTTTTTTTTTAATCTGAAGCCTTTCAGAAGTGGCTCTCCATAAAGAGAGATGCTCCATAAGCAGGATGCTGCCAAGATGTGCCAGGCTGGTACAGGTAAGGACCATCTGGGTGATCTTGCACCCAATGGTCCTTTTCAGCTCCCCAGAAGAGAGATGCTTCACCTCCTCACCACCTCCCATGAGAGGGAAGCTGCAGTGAGGACCACATCCTTCCCTGCCTCCCCAAGAGGTGCCTGTGGCTGTGGGACTCCTGGGGACTTGGCTTTAGGAACTGGTAGCACAGGGAAATCGGAGGGATCGGAGAGCAAAAACCCACTGGCAAAAGGTGGTTTCCACCAGCACGGCTGGTCCCAGAGGACTGCTCCTCCTCAGCTGCACCTTCTTAACCGTGCCAGGCAGGTTTCTGCTCAGCCCCTGCATCCCCAGCACCCATGTCTCTAACCCAGGATGGGGAGCAAACGGCCCCTCCGCTCTTCTTTGTGCTCTCCGGGGGGCTCAGAGGGACAAGCCATGCCCCAGATGCCCTTGAGAGCCGCATCCCCCTCCAGCCTCCCTAAGCAGCCCCTGCTCTCGGTGCTTGGGGCTAAACTGCCTTTTGTGGGGCTGCAGCAGGGTGGGTGCTCGGCCTCCCGGTGATTGGGTGCTATTTTGCTCCGGCACCGTTGGGCAGCTGTTGCTGTATATTACCCCAGAGAGCCGGGGCCAGCCGGGCTTGGAGGCAGAGCAGCGCTGGTGGCCAGCCCCAGGTAGGACTTTTGGTGGCTTTTAACCCTTTTGGTGGGGCATGGGGCAGCCCATGGGCACAGCCCATGAGGGAGCGCTCAGCCCAGTGGGTCCAGGGCCCCGGGGCTTGTCCCGGTGCTGCCATTCCAACGTGCACGGGGAGGGCAGGGAGCGAGAGGGGACTATTTTTGGAAGTTTCTTTGATGTGAGTCAGCGCTTGCAGCACCCTCGGGAGCTTGTACAGGATCGGTCCCGGGGATGACAGCGCAGAGCTCAGTATTTTTTGGGTACCTGCAATTTTGGGCATTTAAGAGAGGATCTCGCACGTGGAGCCTGCGTCCGGGGGAGCGGGAGCACAGGAAGAGCCAGGGAAGGGATGGGTGGGCCGAGCTGTTGTATGGGATGTCAGTGTGAGTGAGCCAAGGGCTGGAGCTGGCCTCTGGGGCTGGGTGACCAGCTCTGCCATGGGCAAAACGTCCCTGGCATCAGTGGCATTCCCTGCTCTGCTTGCCGTAGGCAGTGGCTGTGTGCTGGGAACTGGTCCGATAGGAAGCCTGTTCCTGTAAGTGGCATGCTGGCTGGGGATGAGGATCCCACGTGAGCCCTGGAACGCATCCATCTCCTATCAGGGCATGGACCCCACCTCCCATCAGGAGAGGGACAGACCCAGACACGGAGCCGGTCAGCTCTGGGGCTGAGTTAATGCCTGTGGGGTGCTTGGCACAGGGGGTGGGTGTCTGTGTGCCCGGGCACAGCGTGGCTCTCACTGTCACAGAGCCCTGCAGCCATCTCAGCAAAGCTTCTCAATGTGCCCTGGGGCTGGAGGTGGTTTGGGCTCCTCCACCCAGGTGATGCCCTAGGGATGGAGGCACCGTCCCAACACCCCACGATGGGAGTTGAGCTCCGATGAGGGCTGGGGACCACAGCAAGGATGTGGTGGGACGCTGTGTGCTGCGGGATGCTGCTGCCCAGCACCGGGGCTGCTGCCCACTTGGTTTATCCCTCTTGGTTTAGTGACATGGCAGCAGGTCCCGGTGAGGAGAAAGACTTGGGATGCCCTGAGGCCACGGACGAGCTCCCCGGGCAGGCAGGGAGCGCTCAGAGGCAGCCAAGGAAGGACAGGAGCAAAGGTACCTTGTGCTCACAGCAAGGCAGTGGCCAGGAGGTGCTGAATGGGGGGCTCAGCCTGGCAGAGGTGGCTTTTTGTGGCACCATCAACTCTTGGGGCGACAATGGGCATCAAGGGGCGCCTGCGCGGTGCTGGCCCTGCAGGGATGTCGGCAGTAGCCGGGGTGAAGAGCACAGAGGCTTGTGCCCTCCTTCATCTTCCTCGTGTTCATCTTTGGGCATTGCCGTGTGCGCCAAAAACGCCTCAGGGACTTGGGGGAAAAAGCTCTTTAAGGAGAAGTTCTCTGTCTGTGCTTTCCTCAGGGCTGGGAGCCCTCCAAGCCACCACAGCAGAGGAAGGACCAGGCTCTCTATCACTAGAGCAAAACCAAAGGCTTTGGTTTTTCATTTCCTCTTGAAAGCAAAGACCTTTCAGACTGCTGTTCCCCAGCCGAGAAGTTTCCTTTTATTCCTTTGTTTTGCTTCCAATACTGTGTCTTGGATTTCATCTTGGGAACTGGTGTCTTTTCTCCACATTCATTCTTCCACTGGGAGAAAATAAACTGAATCTGGCTCAAAGGGGGACAAAAACTTCCTCCTCCTGGTGGGGACTTGCAAGGGTATGGCAGCCAGATCCCAGTGCAGACAGGGCTGTGCTCAGAGATGCCAAGGACTGAGGCCACTTGGTGCTGGGACCCTGTTGGTGCATCCTCACCCCATAGCTCAGCCCAGACCCAGGGGCAGAGAAGAGCCCCAGGAGCCCAGCATATTCCCAGCCCTTCATTGCATCGAACCACTGCAGAGTCCCAGGGATGCTCTGGTTTTCTCTCCCATTTAGGAAGAGCCTCAAGAGCCATCCCTGAGCTTCGTGGGTGACTTGAGGTCTTCTTTGAGGCCTGGGTACTCCATGGTACCCGGTCCTGCTCTCTAGGCCACGGCCTGAGCTGTCTCCAGCCTCCAGCCACGTGTTTCCAGGGTGTCTGGGGGATGTTTGTCCCCCCCGTGCCCCTTGGCAGGGGCTGGCACCACCCCGTTTGGCTGCAGCTCCCTTGGGATATCCAGGACGGTGACGTTCTGGGCTCAGCAGCCGCAGACCTGCCCAGTGCTCCCCTTACACCCCAACCACGCCGGCTGCTGCCGCGATGGCCAAGGGGCTTTTTGCCTCTCTTCCAAATCCTCCCTCCACGAGTGTCCTGTCTAACCATGGCCAGGATGGCCCCGCTCTGCAGGGCGGTGGGTGGCACACACACACCCCCAGCCCCTGGCCGTCGCCACCTCCCCAAACCCACCTCCTATTGAGCCACATTGTGCTTGTCCTTAACAGATGCTGACGCGCTGGTGAGCAGTGACGGGGAGAGCAGCAGAGCCCATGTAAGTGCACAGTGTCCCAGGGCTGGGGGGGGCTGTCCCACAGCGCCATCCAGGAGGGCTCTGCAGCGCCCATCCCCGTGTCACCGAAGGCTGCATCCTTCGGTTGTCACTTGCGCTGATCCCTGCCGGTGGCAGCCCTCCCTTATGGCACCGATGACAGCAGCCAGCAGCCAGCCTGGCCACCAAAGCCCCTGTGTCCAAGCAGCCCCAAGCACAGATCCCAGCGCATCGTGCGCTCCCTGTTCTCCCGGCACAGACCTGCACCATGTCCCCATCCCACCCTGCCATGCTGCTTGCTTTCCCCATGGGGCCCTGTGATGCTCTGCACCCCCCCAGCCACATTCACACCCCTCCCCACAGGGGCTAGAGGAGGCAAGGAGCCGGCTTGGTGTCTCTGAGCAGGATCTGGACGAGCCTGAGCTGAGCATGCCCGAGCCAGCACCGCTCGGCGTGGACAAGAAGAGGGCGGAGAAGGTGGGAGCCAAAGGCAGCGCTGCCAGCCCTCCAGGTAGGTGTGCAGGAAAGCCCTTCTCTGCCCCCCAAATGGTCAGCCTGGCCCCATGGCCACAATGGTACCAACTCCTCCTCCTCTCTGCCCTGGCCAAATCTGCTGCTGGGGGGTGTGGGGGGGAGAGCAGCAGAGCCAGGAGCATGGGCAGAGGAATTCCCACTTGAGCCCCACGATGCTGTGACACTGCCAGGGCCCAAACACTGGGGATTCAGCCCCCATGTCCCTTTTTTTCCCCATCTCCACACTGCAAACACCTTTCTGTGCTGGTCTCTGCAGCTCCTGCCCCTGCGCCTGCCTTGCTTGGGCTGTGCAGGAGCGTGTTAAGAGCCCTTCCCACCGCACAGCTCAGAGCCCTTTGCTGCTTCCCAGCTCTCCCCATAACTCTGCTTTTCCTTGCGGTCCCCAGTCCCCAAGAGCCTCCCCGTGCAGAGGAAGGTGGAGCCCCCCAGCCTGGACCCCGCGGAGGAGCCGCTCCTCTGGGAAGGGCTCACCCTCAACAAGTGCATCCTCGTGGCCTCTGTCGTTGCCCTGCTCAGCGTCACCTTCCAGGTGCTTCAAGGTGAGCCGGGGGCCGGATGGAGGGGGCCGGGGTGGTCGGACCCTGCTGCCACCTCCTGCCTCCTCTCCCCTCCTCTCTTCCAGCTCCATGCTCCAAGGAGGGAGTCAGCCGCGGCAGGCAGGACCCGCCACCGCCTCCTCCCCTGCACGGTGGGTTCGGATGCTCTGTGCTGCCCTGATCCCCTGGATCCAGCCTGAGATGGGGCCGTGTCCCAGGGTGGGGTGGCCCTGGGACCCCATGTCTGGGACATGACACCCAAACAGCCCCATCCCCTGCTGATGGTGGTCTGCCCCCCCTCCCCTCACAGAGGTGGTCACCACCAAGGAAGAAGAGGTCCCGGAAGTAGTGACTGCCCAACCTGTCCAGCCAGAGAGCAGCATGTTGGAGGAGGATGATGGTGACGATGACGGTGATGATGACAGTGATGCCGACAGCAACCTGGTATGGGTCTGGGTTGGGGAGGGGGTGAGCATCTTTAGACACCTCCCAGGGAGGGGAGGGAGCATCTCATCCCCATGGGGAACCATGGGAGAGGGGTCCCTGTCCCTTGGGTTGCTTCACCAGTGCCTGGTCCCCTCTGTTCCACCCCAGGCAGAGCCCTGGATCTTCAAGAAGTGGTTTGGCCGCTCAGTACCAGGGGAGGAGGATGAGGAGGAGGATGAGCATAAGGAAGAAGATGAGCATAAGGAAGAAGATGAGCATAAGGAAGAGGATGAGCATAAAGAAGAGGATGAGCATAAGGATGAGGATGAGGATAAGGATGAGGATGAGGATAAGGATGAGGATGAGCATAAGGATGAGGATGAAGAGCCCACAGAAGAACCCACGGACGTCCCTGAGGTGACACCACCTGTGACAGAGGTGAAGAAGAGCCGGGGGAAGAAGAAGGAGGAGAAGGCGCGGGAGGCCCGTGCTGCCCAGGCGGGGCGGAGCAGCCGGAGGGAGGCACGAGCCAAGGACCGGGCGCACGGGGACAGACCCAGCAGAGCCCCCAGGACCCACCGGGAACCGGAGCAGCAGCCCCAGAAGAAGCGGGGCCGGGAGGGGAGGGAGAGCCGGCGGGAGCGGGACGAGCCCAGGAGGGAGGGGGGAAAGGGACGTCCCGGCAGAGCCGGTGACAGCCGGGAGAGCCCGAAGCGGGACTGGAGGCAGCAGAAGGGCAGGAAGCCCTGGGAGGACGGCCCAGCCCGGCCCAGGGAGGGCAAGAGGCGTGACTGAGGCCGGGGCAGCCAAGGGGCTCGGTGATGCTGAATGGGATCCAACGCCGGCAGTGCCCCCGGCAGCGCAACCCTGCTGCTCCCTGCCTGCTCTCCGCAGACACCCTGGGCACGGGCAGCAGGTCCAGGATCACCCAGCAGCAGCAGAGCAGCCCGGGAGCCTGGCACCAGCCTCCTGGTGACTTTGGGCCCCCCTGGATTAGATGCACAAAGGCAACCTGAAAGGACCGGGGGAAGGAGCTTCTTTCCCCTCCCGGCCTTGGTGCGACTTCTCCATCCCACCCAAAATCTCTCTTGCAGCCCGTTTTCCCTCGTGGTCCCGAGGCATCGAGACAGCACCGTGGGCACAGGGATCCCAGTGAACAGAGTTTGTCTCCAGACTGCGCAGCTCTTAGTGAATGGTTTTATTCGAAGCAAATCGAGAGAGAAATTACATTCTGGGTGAAGGAAGCCATCCTCAGAGAGGTGCCAGAGGAACGATCACCTCGCCGGGCCCCGGTGCCGTCGCTGCAGGGTGGCACAAAGCTTTGCTGGCAGAAACCAGGGCTGGAGAGCCCATCACCGGGGATCCCTTCAGGCCTTGCCTTCACGGAGTCGCTTTTAGGAACGAAACACAAGTGCAATATCACGCAGCGCTGTAGCAACTACAGGAGACGTTCACAGCCCCAGCCCACGGCAGGATTAAGTATGTGCTAAATCAGTGCAGGTTAAAATAAACTGTTTTCATTTTTAAGAAGGAGTGGTGTTTAAAAAAAAAAAAAGAAAAAAAATCAAACAAGAAAAGCTCTTGTTGCTGGTTGCGTTTGTGTGTTTTCTGTGACCCCATCCCCGATGGACAGGGGCTCAGGGCTAACTCAGGTCCCTGCATGGGCTGCAGGATGGGGCCGGTTGCAGCACCGGAGGGGATGACCAAGGGTTTGGAGCTTGGGCAGCCCTGTCCAGGCTGAGCTGGGAAGATGATCTGGGAGCAGCCGGGCTCTCGGTGCTGACACTGGCGGGGACGTGGAGCAGGTGCTTTGGCAGCCGCTTGTGCCTGCTCCCATTAATGGTGTGAGCAGGCAGGAGGAGTAACGGGATCGCTCCCTCCCTCACCCCAGAACGGGGTCAGCGCAGAGAGATGCAGAGCCCCGGGTCTCTGTCAGCGCCTCCCTATGGCCCCAGGGCACATGGGGTCAGATCCCAGGTGGGATCACAGCTGGTCCCTGTGAGGGGATTCTGCCTCTTGTTCTGCTTTCACAGGTGGAGCTGTGTGGGCAGCGAGGGCTTAGTGATGGGGCCGGAGGATGCTGCAGAGTGAGGGGGGCTTTGGGCAAGCAACAACTGCCTTTGTCCAGCTGCTACAGGAACACAAGGCAAGGGATAAATAAGCACAATCGTGGCTGGCTCTGCCATGTTTTGCCCTCCCCCGATGCCCTGTATCCAGCCCAAACCCCGCTATGGAGTCAGAGCTACGCTGCAGCATGGCAGCTGGAGCATCCTTGGCATCAGGAGCAGGCACAGGGCATGCCAGGCTGCAGAGCAGCCCCCAGGGAGCAGCACAGCCACAGCTGAGCCCACAACCAGAGCAACGCTAAAGAGCTATAAACCACGGGGAAAGGACGCGCAGGGAGCTCCCATCTCGGCGAGAAGCAGCTCCCGAGCTGCGCAGGCAAACGGGGAGCGGGGAACAGGCTGAGGGCGGGCGGGTGCCTCTTATCGACAGCCACACTCCTCTGCCACCATGTTGGGGAACTTGCGGACCTCCAGCCCCTCGGCGGAGAGGCTGATGATGAGCTGGTCCGAGTAGCGGACGGGCACGCAGCAGGGAGCGCGCTGGAGGGGCGAGCCCCGCTCCTGCATGCCCAGCAGCAGCACGGTGTGCGAGTAGTAGCTGGGGACGCGGGTGGAGAGGGGCAGCCTGCAGGGCCCCTCGCAGTTGTTGGCCGCGTAGACGGTGGGCATGACGATGAACTTGCGGTCGCGCAGGTCGATGGTCAGCTCCTGCAGGCGGCAGTGGGCCTGGTGCCGAGCGCTGCGGTTCTGCCGCTGCACCCGCCGCCGCTCCTGCCAGCGCACCCGCACCGTCTGCAGCGCCTTCAGCAGCAGCAGCGCATGCAGCTTCCCCGAGCCGGGCGGCTGCCCCCTGCCCGCACCCTCACCAGGCCCCGGTGGGTAGTAGCAGAAGCTCAGGAGATGCTGGAAAAGGCCCATGTTGGCTTGGAAAGCAGGGATCTCCTTCAGCTCCTGGATCAGCGCTTCCAGCTTGCCCAGCAGCAGCTGCAGCACGGTCCCCTCCGGCTGCCAGTCCCCCAAGTGCTGCTCCAGCACGGCCCCACTGTCCTGGGGGAAAAGCAGCACCGAGGGCTCCTCTGACTGCACCAGGCGCTCCAGCGCTGCCTCCTCGGACAGGTTGAGCAGCTGGTGCGGGAGGGTCTCCATCACTTGGAAGTCCAGCCAGTGGTGGGAGCTGGGCTGGGCGGGCGGCTCGCTGGAGGGGCTCAGGACCTGCTGGATGAACCGGGTCAGGATTCCCAGGAACTGGCTGCTGCTGCCGGGCACTGAGGATGAAGAAGCGTTGGCTTGGCTCGGTGCAGTGGGGGACAGCAGCTCCTCGGTCCCGGCCTGGGGTGGGCTGTGAGGAGAACACAGAGAGGGTCACAGGGTCCCACCGGGCCCTGCCCCATGGTAGAGGGGCTGGGGCTGCTCCTCTCCCCCCCCCCCCAACCCCGGTTGCAGTGAGGGTCACAGACCTGAGCTGTGGGTATGGAGCCACATCCACCACCCCATCTGCAGACAGGTAGGAAGAAGGGGCCAAAGCCGCTTCGTCCTCCACCTCCTGCCGTGACTTGGCCAGCAGGAGCAGCACGGGGGTCATCCTGGTGAAGCACTTGTCATCGGAGCCGAAAAGGAGCTGCTGGGCCTCTGCAGGGGGCAGGGGGGCACCTGGTGGGGAGAAGAGCGGTGAGGAGCACGGCCTGGGGTCCCCCATACGTCCCCACAGCCCATCGTTAGACGGGCTTGGGCACATCCCAGGACACAGAGGGCACAGACTCCGCTGTACCCCCCCACACACACACACCATGGGGGTGCCGTGTCCCTACCTCCCGCTCCGCTCTGCCTGAGGGCCAGGGATGCCTTGAAGCGGAGCTGCTCGCTGGTGCGGGTGACCGCTGCCACGGCGGCTCCCAGGGCCAGGTACCGGGTGTCCCCGCCGAGGCAGAGGCTCTGCGCGGCGGCGGGAGGCGCAAGGGGTGAGACATCGCGGGGGGACCCGAGGGACTCCTCCTTCTCCTCCCCCCCCCCCCCCCCCCGCTGGTGCCCCCGGGTAGTTCGGGACCCCCGCGATGGAGCTGCGGTGCCGGGGGGCGAGGACGGGACCCGGGACACGCCGGGGGAACAGCTCCATCTGCAGGCACGGCTCGGCCCCGGCGGGAGGCAGGGAGCGATGCTGGGGCGGGGGGGGGCGGCAAAACGGGAAGGGGTGGAAAAGGGCGTGGGAGGGGATGGAAAAGGGGCTGGAAGGGGATGGGAGAAGAGGGGGGAAGGATGGAAAAGGGACAGTGAGGGTACGGCAATGAACTGGGGAAAGTGGTAGGGAGGGGCAAACAGACTGGGAGGGGGGGAAAGGGGACGGGGAGAGAATGGCAAAGGGAGTGGAGTAGGGTGGCAAAGGGAGGCAGGAGGAGGGGATGGAGAAGGTGAAGGGGACGGCAAAGGGAGGGGAAGGGGATGGTGCCGGTGCTGGCCCGGCAGAGCCGAGTCCCCCTTCCCTTCCTTTCCTTTCCTTTCCCTTCCCTTCCCTTCCCTTCCCTTCCCTTCCCTTCCCTTCCCTTCCCTTCCCTTCCCTTCCCTTCCCTTCCCTTCCCTTCCCTTCCCTTCCCTTCCCTTCCTTTCCCTTCCCTTCCCTTCTCCTTCCCTTCCCTTCTCCCAGCCGGAGCCCCCGGCACCCACCTGCTCCCTCGCCAGCCCGGTGCCCGTGGCCAGCAGCTGCTCGCGGTGCCCCGGCCGCTGCCGCGGGCCCAGGTAGAAGAGCAGGACCGCGAAGCGCAGGGCTCCCAGCGACCGGGCCACCTCCGGCTGGAAAACCAGCTTGAACCAGAGCTGCGCCGGGGCTTCCCACTGCACTGCAAGGGAGAGCCAGCGGTGAGAGCCCGGCGCGGCTCCGCCGGGACCGGTGGGGAAGGGGCTTCGGGAGCAAGCACCGGCCCGAGTGGTGGCCGCAGCATCAGAGGCAGGAGCTGATGGGCTGGAGGGACGCAGCAAAGCCTGCTGTGTGTGACCCTATGGTCATGTGAAATCCCCATTCCCAGTTTCGGGAGGTGTCAGCAGGGGCTGCCTCCCTCGCCCCCAGAGCGGCTCTGGCAGATTTTCATGGGCAGATCCCCATGGAAATCTCTTCTCCTGAGGCATCTCTCCTTGCCTGGGGACACTGTGGCCACTGGGAGCCACTCCCCAGCTGCCTGGGTTTGGTGTAAGGCTGGAGCTACACGAGCCAGCCCAGGGCCCTTCAGCAACACCCGGTGTGAGATCAGCTGGGGACACAGCGCAGCAGGAGCAGCCAGCGCTGTCTCTCGGACCCTCTCCTCTCTTTCCTCAATCAGAGTTGCGGTGGGGTCCTAACCTGAATGAGAAACGCCTGTGATCCTGAAAGCATAGAAGCCACCAAGAGTATGGCCCCTGGGCATTAGTGACAGGCAGGGACACAGCCCTCATCACTACTAAAGCTTCTTAAAAAGGGACCCAGGAAGACATAGAATCACAGGATGGTTTGGGTTAGAAAGGACCTTAAAGATCATTTAGTTCCACCACACCCCCCACCACAAGCAGGGACGACATTACTGTATTCACTGCTTGTAAAAGGAACCCAGCCCCACACATACAATTTGGTGCCTAAATCCCCGATTCGGGACAAGCAAACGGCATCAGCCTCCCCAAGCCCCGTGCTCAGCCCCAGTGCAGGGATCTCCACCAACCTTCCTCCAGATGCAGCACGAGGAAGCGGTCCTGCCCCGGCTCCAGCACGTGTGCATGGATGTGCTTCAGGGGATGGAGAGCAGCACCCGCCTCCCCGCCCAGGCACAGCCCGAAGGTCTCCAGAGAGCTCTGGTCCCAGCTGGTGCGTTGTCTCAGGAGCTTGATGAAGCTGCTTTCGTAGTGGGTGAGAACCCCCACCACGTCCAGGTGCCCCGGGGTTAGCCCGTCCTCGTCCATTGTCACCCTGCACACGGGCCCCTCCAGCCCCCCGAGTGGCCAAGGGTGCAGGCTGGAGCTGGTGCCCCCATCCTCAGCCACCTCCTGGAGGCATTTTGGTCCTGGGTCTGGCTTTGAAAAGGGGCGAGCAGCAGCAGCCAGCCTGGGGCTCCCCAGAGAGCTGGGTCTCGCTCTTTCCTGGGAACTTGCATTTTCTCCCCGTCTCTCCTCTGCTCCGACTCCCAGCTCCTCCGGCAGACTCAGCTCCATTTGGTCAACTGGGGAAAGCCTTTCTCCCGTGCTCCCCTTTCTTGGAAGTGCTGCAGAGGGAAGCAACAGCACCAGGCACAGCCAAAGCACCCTCAGAGCAGCCTTCATGGTCCTGCTTCGGCTACTCCAGAGCAGTCCGAGCCACTCACACGCATCCAGAACACTGGGGCAGGAGGGGAGGATGGTACCTCCCTTTTAAAAGCGGGTGGCCTTGAGTTGACAATGCACAACGCAGCTCCCTTGAGAAACTCAAAGTGCTGGAGAGGAGGGGGGGATGCTTCAAAGAAACCTTTCTGTTCTATTTTTGGGTTTGCATCCATATTGGAAATGTAAACAGAAAAAAGAGGAAAGCTGTTTCTCTTACTTGTAGGGATGCACGTCCTTGACTTCAGATGTTTCCTAAAGGAGGATGGATGTCTAGACCTGGATCTTCTTGGGGACTGGCACACAGCATTCCCATCAGCAGTGAAACACCAGGAGGGAAGAACTAACCAAGAGAATGGGGATAGAGACAGAGAATGGGCAGAAACTAAGGACATGCATGGAAAGCGTTCTCCTCTCTTCACTGGTACCTCACATGCTGCAGGTTAGAGGCTGCCCAGGCTGCTTCAGCCTCTGAAGGAGAATCTCACAGGGTGCAGCAGCACCCTGATGGCTTTGAACACTTTGGAGTTGACTTAGGAAGTCTCACAACACACCTCTTATAAGGACTTTTCCCTCTCTGAGATGCCAATGTTCACCTAAACAGTTGAGGTTACCCACACCACCCACCTAACCCACCCCAGTGAAACATGGCCCCCCCAAGGTATCTCTTTTGGCAGCTGAGAGCAGTGGGAAATGTACCTGCCAGGCAGTCCCAACACACGTTCAGAGCCTTCCCTGGGCTCCCAAGGCCTTGTAGTTCAGAGCTCAGCACATCACAAACAGACCACGCAGCTGAACTGGAGAGGGCCAAAGGCACCCACCACAAGTCTGGAGAAGGCAGCCCTCTCCTCTGCAGGAGCTGTGACAGGGGACACGTGCCTGGCAAAGGGGGGACCTGCACAAGCCCATTCAAACACCAGGCCAGCTCAGCTCCAGCCGAAGAGCACCCAGCACGGTGGTGAAGCCAGCAGGGGCTGGACACAGCGGGTGGGACTGAGCAGGACCTGTGTCAGGCCAGCAGAAGAGGTGACAGCTTTGATTTCCCACCAAAGGGGCACGTGGTGGTAGGGCTTTGGCAAGCTCAGCCTCCCCTAGGCCTGCGACCCGAGCCAGGCACTGGCCAAGGGCACAGACAGGCCAAGCAGCCCAGTCCCCAGTGCTGCTGCTCCCCACCGAGCACTCGGGTCCCACTTCAGTGCCCCCCCACTTCAATGAAATGGATCCTGGAAGAGACAGAGAGGCAAAACCTCAGAAATTCTACTTTCAAATGGCAACCAAATGGTTGGTTGAAGGAAACATCAGGAATAAATAAAACCAGAGAGCAAAAACTTGTCAAAACTAGTCTGCCAGTGGGAGATCTTATATGTACAGTAAAAACCACACGTGGCAGCAAGTGCTTCATAGCGGTACAGACGTTTAATGAATTACAATCATAAACTAAGATTTAAAATCACTGTAGTTCTTCCACTAAACATTCCCAGAGATCCCCAGCACCACCACGAACCAGAGCACTGACACTTTGGGAAGCCGTGTTTGGTGTGGTAACTCCAGCGAGCTGCAGCTGCCTTCCGGAAGGGAGGAATCTGGCTTCACTTGAGATCTTGTCTGGTGCTTTTCAAGGACTCCCGAGAAGCAATCCAAACGGTGGAGAGGCTTCCAGCTTTTAGCTGGCAACACCTGAGTGCTCTGGCACCGGGAGCAGAAAGGCAGTGGTAATCACCACTGGGATCAGTGGTGACCCAGTAACGGAATCCTGCCCATCTGCCTGTGACAAGTCTCCCCATCACTGAACGAGCAGCTCCATAAAGGACTTCAACTGATTCACTGGCTGGGAATTTCTGGGATACACATCCAGCCACAGCTGTGCTGAGGCTGATGTAGCTTTACAGTTAGGAGGCAAAGTGCCTTGAGATTTCCAATCCTTTGTCTCTTCTTTGGAGAATTTCCAACACGAAACCAGACTGGGAATGTTTGACCTAAGGGCTAAGGGAAGCGAACACATGGCAGTATTTTAACCAAAACACGGGAAAACAGGAAGGAAAATTGAAAAGCTTTTAATGAACCTACAGGATTTAGTCAAATGTGCAGGTGTACAAACCCAAAATAGGTCTCTCCATCAGTCATGATCTGCATATAAAAAAGAGAGGGGCTGGAGGAGTCCAGCAGGACTGAGTCCAGGAGGGGCTTCAGTTGGAGGGAGGCGGAGGGGGGATAGTGCCCGGCCCCTCTGTGGGGAGCGGTGGCCTCATCATGGGTGGCAGAGGAGCAGGAGGGGGTACACCGGGGGCTGGTGGCAACTGCGGTGGCACTGGAGGCGGTGGCACCGGTCCAGAGGGAGGCATAGGAGGCAGAGTCATGCCTCCTGGAGGAGGTGGTGGCATGGAGTCAGGCAGAGGTGGCCGCGGGGGCAAGCCGTTCATCAGCGGAGGTGGAGGAGGCCGCTTCACAGTCGGGGGCCCTGGAGGGAGGTTTGGAGGAGCTGGGGGCTTCTCCATCTTGAAGTGGAATTGAAGGAAGAACTGGGGAGGGGAGGAAAGCAGAAAAGGGAACAATTAATCCTCAGGACAACTTTGTGCCATCACACAAGACAGCTGCCCTCTGTCTCCAGGAACACAGCTCGCGTCTCTCCTGGCTTGGTAGCTGCACAGACCGCAGTCGCTGTTCTACCATGGCAGCATTCCTGACGTGTACTGGCCTTGTCTAGTACTTAACTCCTCTGAAACATGTTCTCAGCCCTAAGCTCCCTGTGATGGGTCAGTATCCCCCACTCTGCAGTATATCCTCACCACAGACCTGCAGCCAGGAGCCACACAGTGGGCACGGTGTTGCACGTTTATGCACCCTTCTGCTGCTGCTGGCAGCAACCAAGGATCTGCCTCCCTGGTTCAATTCTCACAAAGACTCCTCTGTCAGGAGGAGTCACTGCACAGCTGCATTCATAGAATCAGAGAATGGTTTGGGTTGGAAGGGACTTTAAAGCTCATCCAGTTCCAACCCCTGCCAGTGGCAGGGACACCTTCCACTAGAGCACGTTGCTCCAAGACCCATCCAACCTGGCCTAGAAGGAATGAAGATTTAAGCAGCAAAGCCAGCAGGGATGTAACTGATGCACACTCTTCCTGCATCACCTTTCCCTCCAAGCTGCTCTGCCATCCCTCTTCAACCTTTTTGCACTGCTCCAGTTACCTGTTTGGTTTCTCTGTTCCAGTGAGTCCAAAACTTTCCTTCTGCTTTGTCGATTTCTCTGCTTGGCACCTGCAGCAAAAAAGAACAAGGACCTATTATTAGCACCACCAGATTAGCTCAATGGGCCTTTTTAGCCCCAGAGCCTGCAAGATAAGCACAGTTATTCCAGGCCTTTGTGAGATGTGCTAGTCTCGGATGTTATTAGATAGAGATGGGGGCAGGAAAGAATTAAGTTACATCCCTATCGGTCAAGGACAAGTGTGTTGGCAAAAACCCCTCTCTCAACATCTGCACAAAGGCTGAGGAGCAAAGCCCAGGCAGCTCCTTCCCGTGCTGAGAATTCAACAGCTCCCCAGAGCTCAGCACACAGCCTAATTTTCATGCCAGAGTCCTCCATCAATTCTCAGTAGGGTTTAATGACTTCCAGTCATATCTTCTCGACCCCCCTCTCCATCCCATTAACCCCCTGCAGGCTAGAACAGAAGTCTACAATAATGGTCACTGGGAATTAATGCCTTGAAAAAGATAAGAAGGGAACTTCCCCAACAATCAATTAATCCCAGCTCTTACCTTGAAGGCTATGGTTTCATAGGGCTCTGCTGCCATCAAAAGGTATTGCCAGCGTCTATCAGGGGGCTCAATCCTCTGCTCGTAGGCTGACATGAAGCGGTGACGAGGCATGATACTTTCTGCAATCTCTGGGTAATCAATCTGTTGGGGTGTTGTTGCAGCATTAAGGAGATGTCCAGGACAGGGGAACGTTCCCTTTCCACCCCACCTTTGCACAAAGCAAATCCCTCAACCGTGAAGCATATTGAGAGATCAGTTCCAGACAGAGGCCACCAAAGGAAACAGCCTGACGGTGACAACGTGGTTTTGCCTGACAAAATCAGCAGCAGAGCATCGGGCAGATAAGGCCTTTTTTTTTTTTAATCATTATTAATTTCATGAAGCTTGCCAAGAACTGCTTGTTCAGCAGCACTTTTACTCATAATCCTGACACCAAGAATTTGACAGTGCTCTTACCTGGAAGAGAAGGCTCTGCTGGCCTGTTTCTGGGTCTCTCTGTTTGGTCACTGTAAAGAAAAGAAGAAAGCTCAGTGAAGAAAGCAGGTTACAGCAACATTATTTCTGCCCTAGGAAACACACAAAGCTTTCAGCAACAAGATACTACAACATTTTTCTCCCATTTATCCAACAAAACGCCACGTTGTTTTTAACCAAAGTCACTACTGTGTTCAGTTTCAGGCCCCTCATCACACGAAAAAGACACTGAGCTGCTGGAGCAGGTCCAACAATGCTGCAGCGTCTGGAGCACAAGTCTGATGAGGAACGGCTGAGGGAACTGGGTTTGTTCAGCCTGGAGAAGAGGAGGCTCAGGGCAGACCTTCTCACTCTCTACAATTACCTGAAAGGAGGTTGTAGTGAGACGGGGTCGGTCCTTTCTCCCAAGTAACAAATGACAGGACAAAAGGAAATGGCCTCAAGCTGCACCAGGGAAAGTTTAGACTGGATATTGGGAATAATTTCTCCACTGAAAGGGCTGTCAAGCACTGGAGCAGGCTGCCCAGGGAAGCAGTGCAGTCACTGTCCTTGGAGGTGTTTAAAAGACATGCAGATGTGGCACTTAGGGACTTGGTTTAGTGGTGGCCCTGGCAGTGTTAGGTTAATGGCAATTTCCAACCTTAATGATTCTGTGATTCTACTAAGGATCTCCACTGAAATTCAGCTGTTGAAGGGCAAACACTGTGCACTGCAGAGCAAAGCTGGGAGGTAAAGAAGCCAAGTTTTGCACTGAAGGCCAAACCAACACAATGAGGAGTTCAGAGAAAACACTTGAGCTATACATGCAATGAGTGATTTATAAGCATTACTGAATGATAGTACAGCACAGTAAAATGAGAAGAGAGACTGAAACATCATTATCTGCTGCATGATTTCTACTAAGAGCTGACTGAGACATACCAATCTATTATTAAAGTGGTTCTCACTCGACTGACAGCAATAAAGAGATGTTCATGGCAATTTCAACAACAGACATCAGGAGATAAGCCCATCTCTTATTCATAGCCATAACTGCTCAGAACACTAATGAATAATTCACATCCCCAGCAGTGTACTTCATCAGCTTGGGCAGACACTGGGTGCCTCCCACAACAGACACCCCCCTCCCCCAACAAACCTTTATAACCTGGTCTTCCAATTTTCACAAACTTCTTCACTTCCACTTTGACCTTTTCTGGTGCAGGCTGGGCAGGGGCCTCCTTGGCCTCCTTGGCAGCTCGACGTGCCCTGCAGAGTGATTTGACACGTGCCAAATTGAAAAGGTTAGCCCCACTTGCTTCTGAAGGATGCACTAGGAGCAGCTTGAATCCCTTCCCATGGAAGATTCAGTGCTTCACAGAAAGCATGCCAGGAAAACCTGCTATTTCTCTTCCACATGCACCACTACAGGCCACTTGTATCCATGCCCCCCGTGCCTAAAGGCTGTCATCTCATTTATCTTATCCTCCCCCAAGCTGACCTTGGATTTGAGAAGACTTCTTGAAACATAAAAGAAGAAAACCACACGAGCTACTCATCTAAACGAAAGCAAACTTTGCATTTCTTCAAATAAAGCTTACAAACTTCTCCCAGCCTGTATTCACAAAACCAGATCCTTCTAATCAGACTCAGACAATTTGCTTTTAAAACTCTTTCTCCCCCTTCCTTCAGAAATCCCAAAACTGGCTTTGAACTTGAGCTCGAAATGGAGCTTGTTATGTTTTGGAGCAGATCTAGGCTGTCCCCCCTGGCTAATGCCAGGCTGCTCCCTAGGAAACAAGCACAGTGAAAGAACATTCAGGCACAGTGGCTACTGGATAATGGAGGTGAAGATCCGTAGATGTGCACCACTTCAGTTTTAAATTGCTTTAGTAATGGAGAATAAAGCTACAGTGGAGAACAACTTACAGATTGGTCTGATGCTTCTTCCCCTGGGTATGGGCTAAGTAACTTCCCTGCAATAAAAAACAAGGAATAAGAAAGTTAAATGAAGGCGCATCCTACACTGAGAGATACTTGTCACAGAGGAGAGACAGCATCACACATTGACAAGGGTATTTTAATCCTTAGCAGAGAAGGAATCTTAACTCAAAAATTAGATTGCTCTCAACTGCTGAAGTGTTATGAGCAGTCAGGCTTAGCACACAAGAGCCACCACCCCCCAGCATCTCCTCAGCACGCAGCCATCAGGCACGTCCCAGGTTCTTGCACCTGAAGCTGTATTCTAAAATCCCTGCTGCCAAGACGCAGCCAGCCAGCCTCTCAGCTCACCTCATTGTTGTGCAGCGTCAGGCAGAGCTTGCATTCATAAGAGCCCAAGTGATTTTTCATAAAATAAGGGTCCTAAGAAGAGAATTGTTCAAAAGTTACGAGCAAAATACATGGCAAAACAACAGGATAACCAAAATATTGACAACCTTCTTCTGCATTGGAAGAACTGGGTTCATAGATTTAAATTACCACCACAATACTGCTTTAGGACTATGAAAACAGAAACAGCTGTTCACTGGTGACAGCAAACCCAACTACAGGCAGGAAACGGCAAAATACCAACCAGTCCTAAGAAGGCTGAACATAATATAGTACCAGCAGCTTGAACACAAAGTGCTGGCACCTCTGTGATCAGCCCCATCACAAGTGCTCCTCATTCAACTCCCACATTACCAGGAACAGAAATACTTCATTCCAATCCACAACCCTCCACTAAATCTCACACCCTCCAAGCTATTTCACTCAGGCAAAGCCCTAAATGTTTCCCCACAGCTGGACAGGTCGCTCCTGCAGGACAGGAGCCCCGAGTCTTTTCCTTCCTACACACACAGAGGCCAAGGCTCACCTTGTTGATGTCGATGGTTTCCAAAGCCAGCTGCCGGAGCCTTTCCCTGCGGTCTCGGTTACTTTCTGAGGCAGAGGCTACGCCTCCGCTGCCTGTTTTGCCCCCAGGACGATGCTGAAAATCCATGATGGGGACTTTTGTGCTTCAGCTACTTATGGAGAAAGTCTGGAAAGATAAGGAAAAGCAATGTGAGTGATAACTAATGCTTTTCCCAACGTGGAGGTCCCCCCACTATTTACACCCATCAGCAAGGATGGGAGATGAGCACATAAACCCTGCCCTGGACACTTGCCACTTGACGCAGGGTCAACCACAGCGGGTCTTGTACCACTGGCTCAGTAAGCGGGGAGTAAAATGATCCAGAATAACAACGTAATATTGGTTAAATATTAAAGGGGGCCTACAAGAAAGCTGCAGAAGGGCTTTTGACAAGGGTAAATGGTAACAGGACAAGGAGGAATGGCTTTAATCTGACGTAGTGGAGACTGAGCTGAGCTCTTAGGCAGAAGCTCTTCCCTGTGAAGGTGCTGAGGCGCTGGCACAGGGTGCCCAGGAAGCTGTGGCTGCCCCATCCCTGGCAGTGTTCAAGGGCAGGTTGGACACAGGGGCTTGGAGCAAGCTGCTCCAGTGGAAGGGGTCCCTGCCCATGGCAGGGGTTGGAGCTGGAGCAGATTTCAGCTCCCTTCCAAACCAAACCATTCTAGGCCTCTATGAACAAGCCTCCAGAGACTGCTGCATCTTCTCACCCACTGTTTCTACACATTCTCCTCCCCACGCTCAACTGGGCCCAACGAGGCTCTGCAGCCCCACCAGCAACCCAAACCAGGAGCCTCCAACCCTCTCCCTTGGCAGTGAACAGCCCCAGAACCTGCCAAAGCCTTCTCCATCGGTTCAGTGCTGCCCCCCTTACCCCCCCAGCCCCACAGCCACCCTTAAGCAGCCCCAATGCCTCCAACCCCCCCCCCCCCCCCCCAGCAAGGCCAGAGCCTCTGCGCACTGTCCCCAGTGCCCCTATGGGGTCCTAGACCCCCCCCCTGCCACTTTCCTCCCCCCAGGGACGATTCCCCCAACCCTGGTAAGACCTTTGCAAGAGCACCAGAGACCCCCAGCCCTTCACCAGGCCTCAAAGTCCCGTGTCCCCCCCGAGCACCCCCCAGCAAGGCTCAGCCCCTGTCAACCCCCCCTCAAGCCCTCACCAAGGGGTCAAGGTCCCTCTCAATCGCTCCCCAGTGAGCATCAAAGCCCCCCACAAACAATCTCGAACCCCTTGGCAAGGGTCAAAGCCCCCCCCCCCCCCCTTTAACCCCTCAGCAAAGGTCTAAGACCCCAACCCCCCCCCCCAAACCTCCCCAGCCCTAGGCCTAAAGCCCCACACACCTCCGCAAGGCCTCAAAGCCCCCAGACCCTCAGCAAGGATCACGCAGAAGCCCCCCCAACCCCTCAACAAGGGGTGAACCCCCCTCAACGCCCCTCACTGACACCCAAACCCCCCCATTGCCCTCACGCTCCCCAGGCCCCTACCGCCTCCCGCCGCTCCCGCCGCGCGCATGCGCGGTGCCCGCTCCGGCTTCCGTAGCGATCGGTTCCGGGGCGGGCGGGAGCGGATCCGGGCGGGCGATGGGGCGGGTGTGAGGGGCGTGGGGGCCGCCATGAGGTACAACGAGAGGGAGCTGCTGTCCCTGGCCCGGCAGCCCGCTGAGAAGGCGGCCGAGATCTTGATGCGGGTGCCCAAGAAAGGGAGCGGTGAGAGGGGGGGGGAACGGGACTGGGAGAGCTGCGGCTCTGAGGGGGGAGGACACGGAGCAAGGCCTGGGTGCGTTGAGGGGGGACTGGGGAGCACGGGTGCTGCCGTCGGGTACAGGTTGGGGGTCTTGGGGAGGGACCGTGATGAGAGGAAGAGGCGTTCCCTGGAGTATCGCAGCGAGTTTCCTTTGGAGCGTTGGGAATCCTTCCTTTCCCTGCGTCGGCCTCTCCTTGGAGGCCTGTGGGCTTTGTCCCTGAGTAACATCAGTGCTGGGGGGGGGGGGGGGATGCATCCTGTGCCTGTCAATGGGGGGATGCTGTGCGCTCTGCCTGCCCGCCCAAGGAGCCACTGGAGCAGCTGCAGCGTGACTCTGGCACCCTGGAGCTGCGGTTCGGCTGTGGGGTGGGTGAGAGCTCCTCTAGGAGCAAAGGGCGGCACCGGAGCAGGGCTTCCCCATGGGTTTGGTGGGGTCGGTGCCATGGCAGGGATGGAAAGGGGTTCCGCTCGCCCCTTGTGCCCACCTCAGCACTGGTTTCCTTTGCAGTGTTAAAGAAACGCCTCGTGAAGCTGGTTGTAAACTTTCTCTTCTACTTCCGGACGGACGAAGCGGAGGTAGGGAATCTGCTGTGGCCTCATTTGGCTCCATACAATCCCTGCCTGGGTTGGGTTGGAAGGGACCTTAAAGCTCATCCAAACCCAACCCCTGCCGTCGTGGGCAGGGACCCCTTCCACTGGAGCAGCTTGCTCCAAGCCCCTGTGTCCAACCTGCCCTTGAGCACTGCCAGGGATGGGGCAGCCACAGCTTCTCTGGGCACCCTGTGCCAGCACCTCAGCACCCTCACAGGGAAGAGCTGCTTCCTTATAAGTGCTCTTAATCTATCCTATAAAATCTCCTCCCTCTCTCTTCTTTCTCTGTGGATTGACTGCATGGGCTTTATACAATGGTGCAACAAGAGGCTGCCAGAGCCAGGGCAGAGCAGCCACGTTTTCTCTTCCATCAACTCAGTGAGACCTCATAGGGGTAGGAGCAGCGCTGCCATCTCAGCACTCCCACATGCTTCTCCTGGGAGCTTGGAATGAAGCTGTTAAACATAACTGTGGCCCCAGAGCTGCCAAAGGTGGAGTCTGTGATGTTTGTCTGTAGGACTGTGGTGCCAGACTGTGAGGGGAGGCTGAGATTTCGCTCTCCTGGGAAAAGCATTAACATTGCTTTTTCTTTCTGTGTCAGGAATTTTGTGTGCACACAACGCTCGCTGTTACCGGGATGCTCTGGTGGCCATACTGTGGCACCATGGGTTTTCTGGGCATGCAGAAGCCCTGCTTGGGTCTAGAAAAAAGATAGAACTGAGGGATGTGACCTTTGGGCTCTGTTGCCAGCTTCGCCACTGCTGAGTTCTGGTGATTTTTGGTGAATCCCTTCATAACTGTTGCTAAAGAGTCTTTTGGTGGAAAGCGAATATAAAAGTGCTATAATGATGCGTGTGAAGAAAAGTGCTGTGTGTATGCTGGTGCTACAGACAGGAGCTGGGAAGCTTCTGTTGGTGGTTTTAGACTTAGTTTGTCCAGACTCTTTCACCCTGATAAGGGCTGAGCTCCTCTTTCCAGCTCTGCCTTTTCCTCCTCTCTGCTCAAGCACAGCCACTGCTTCACTGGTGTGCAGGGGCCGCTCTCCAGGGAGATGGAGATGCTGAGCAGCCTCCAGCACATGTCCCTGTGCAGGCTGAGGTCTGGCTCCTGCACCACTGCAGGATGAGGCTCTGAGGACAGAGCCCATCTCCTCCACTGCCACCAGCACTGCTCTGCTTCCTTTCCTGGTGGTGATTTGGAAGCACATGTGTGCACTCTGATGGAGGGGAGAGGATGTTCTTGAATGGATCAGAAGAGCTCAGCAGATAGGTGGAGGGTGCTAATGTAAAACCAGTGTGCCAGAAATAGAGAATAAACCAGGGTTTTCAGTATCTTCCCTGCTGCCCTGTTTGCCTCTCGCAGTTTGTTTAGCTTGGACAAAAGAATTTGCTTTTTGTGGGTTGCCTTTGTGGCTTTTATCCCCCTTTGCTTCCTGTGTCCTCACTCTGTGCACTAGCGAGCAAATAGCACCTACCCTTTGTCTGTTTATCCTGAGCTGTTCTAGTTCATCACAGACTGTTCTTAATCCCCTGCAAGACTCCAGGACTGCCTGTACCAAGTACAGTGTGAGTTGTTCTGTGTCATGTTAAGTATTTCATCTTTGCTTGATTCACTGAGCAAGGAAGTAAATCTTCAGGGTCCTCACGTCACAGAAACAATGCTAATGCCAGGGTTGAATGTGAGCAAGCAGAGATGTTTAATACCTCATTCGCATACACAGAGTGTTCCAGGTAGGACTAGCACAGTGAAGCATGACTGCAGACACCAGAAGGTTCATTAAAAACCATGGAACATCCATGTAATTGGAGTGAATTACTTTAAAGGTAGTGAAACTTTAAAAGGTGGTGAAACTCAAATGGCACTCAGCAAACTGGGTTCAGAACACTGTTATGCTGGTGGGCAGAGTGGCTTAATCCTTCTCTCCGGGTCTTTTCCAGCCCATTGGAGCTCTGCTGCTGGAGCACTGCAGGATCACCAAAGAGGAGGAGAACGTCTTCTCAATCAGTGAGTTCCATCTCTGCATCTCCTTTGTGTTTCCCTTATGGCAAATAGTGCTATGTAAAAGGAAAGGTTTTGCTGCTTAGTTCCTTCTTTTCCCTCTCTTTCTGTGGTGACAGTAGGGCCAGTGCTCCTCAACCTTTTCCTCCTCCTCAATGCCCCTCAGCCCTTCTCCTCCTCCTCAGCTGCCAGTTACTACTGTGGCATTGCCATCCCCCATTAGTATTTTGTTGCTGGCTGAACCAGTCTGCGTGACTTGCACAGCTGCTTGTGGGGAGAGAAGCAGGAACAAAACAGACAGACCATGGCTTGTGGAAGTCCCTCTGTAGGAGGGTTTGGTGCTGACAGGTTGCTGCTTCTGTGCTACTGCATTCATCAAAACAAAAGTGAGCCTCAGCTAAACCATCTGCCGGGCTAATCTAGCACCAGTCCTCCCGTCACGCTGCTCGTCCTTGTGTCGATAGCCATGGCTCCAGCTGGCCCGTGGTGTGTCGTCCTTTGTAAGCGGTCTTTCATCCAACAACTAATCATTGTGTGAGAGGTATGTGGCAGAAATAACAGGATGTTTCTCCAAGGCCATCCCCGTATCTTTTGGCCTGGTTGTCAGGCACAGCTGCTTCTCTGTGCAGAGCCTTGTCTCCCCTTCCCACTGGGAGAGGTGGTGTTCTTGCTGTCTGCAAAGCATCCTCAGGCAGGCTGGACACGCTGATCTCTCTAAGCACCAGCTCCAAATTTCCTTAGGTTTGTTGGGAACTGGTGAATGAGGGGTCCTGGGAAAGGAGCCGAGTGCAGTTGGGGTTGGGTTTGTCCCTGCACTGCAGCCCTAAGGGGTCTGGTGCAGTCTGACCCAGTTATTTCTCAGCAGCAGCCTGGATCTCTGTGGGCTGTGTACTGAAGAGCAGAGCTCTGAGGACAATGTCATTAATTAGATGTCCTGATTCTGTCTTGGTGAAGAACAGGACTTGCACAGGGACTTGCCTTCTGCTGTGCTTAGTACCAAATTCCCAAAAGCCTTAAGGAAAGACAGGTCAGTGCCTTCTCTGAGTACATTTAACGTCTCAGATGGCTGCCCTCTGCATGGGTCACAATTGCTTCCTTGGGGCCATTTTCCACTTGGATTACTCAGTCTGTGCGGACTGTTTGCAAGGAGGCTCAGGGAGCTGCAGTCTGCCCTGGCCATGTTGGTCTGTTTCAGTTCCGAGCTGCTGCTCTCAGTGGAAGTTGCTCTTTCCTCTCTTTGCAGCAGTCTTTGGCTGCTGGCAGATGGTGGCAGAGGCCCAGGACCAGCAAGGAGCCACGCAGGGTAAAGGAGAGGGGCCAGAGGCCTGTGCTACCAGCTCGGTCACAGATCATCTTGGTTGAACAGAGACATGAGCTGCAGCCTGGCTGTTGCTGTGAGAGCCCAGTGGAGCCAGGACCTCCCTGAAGCCTTTTCCTTGTCCCTGGCAGGTTTCATTGAGGAGCCCGAGAGGAAATACTGCTTCGAATGTGACAGTGAGGAGCAGTGTCAGGAGTGGATTGAGGCACTCAAGAGAGCCAGGTAGGCTGAGCCACCAGGGCCAGGGCTGCCTCGTGTGCTCTGGGCTGTTTGTTTTCTGGGATGGGCTTGTGGTGAACCCAGGGAGGAAAAGTGGTTGTCTCCTCCCCAGCCAGCTGCCCTCTGGCTCTAAATAGCAGCTGAAACTTCACATCCTGTCCTGCTCAGCCTGCCCATGGTCTGTTCCTGTCTTACAGCTACGAGTTCATGAGGAGGAGCTTGATCTTCTACAGGAATGAAATCCAGAAAATGACAGGGAAGGTGAGAGAGTCCCTGGAAGTTGACTTGTCAGTGGTGATGACAGGTTTGGACCGGAGCAGGGCCAGCAGTGTCTGGTGTTGCTGGCAGCTGTTCTGCACAGGGCTCTTTGCTGCCATGAGTATGAAAGAGATCCTGTAGTAAGCCAGAGCCTGAAGCTGTGCTCCCAACAGCCAGACCTGAGTCTTCCTCCCCTCGGCAGCCTGCGTTGTGCCCAGCACTGTCCCTCTTCCAGTGGTGGAGTGGCCCAGGGTTTGTAGCTGACCAGATCTGGCCAGGGCTGCCTGTGAACTCTTCCAAAGAAGTGGTGGGAGTCCCAGCACACGTGGGTCCAGATGCTCTCACACCCCTGCCAGGCTCCTCGGAGCATCCCTGCTCGAGGTGATGGAGGTGGCTGCAGCTCACCTGTGTGCTCCTGCACCAGCGTGGCCTTGAACCATGCGTGGTTGTTCCCTGTGTCCTCCTCGATGGCTGCCTGGCTTTCTGCACCAGAAACAGCAGCCAGGGCTGGGCTGGGGAACATACAGCCCTGCAGAATGGCTGAGGGACAGTCCTGGCCTCCCCCCTTCTCTGTGTCTCACTGGTGCCTTCCCTCTGCTCTGGCTGCAGGACCCCCTGGAGCAGTATGGGATCTCGGAGGAAGCCCGCTTCCAGCTGGGAACACGCAGGCAGTAATCCCCTCTCTGGAGCTGCCCCGGTGCCTGGCCCCAGGCTCCCCTCCCCGGGGACAGCAGCAGCAGTGACCAAGGACTTTTTAATTTATTAGCCACATCATTTTGTATGATTTTTTTAACACGGAATTCTTTGCACATTCCCCCTTGCCCCAGCTCTGGAGGCAGCCAGGCTTAACTGCTGCACTGGTGGCATGAGAGCAGAGGAGGCAGGGACTGAACAGAGCTGCAGCACCCGCTGTTCTCTGCTGCTGGGGCAGGCCCTGAGCCAGCTCCAGCCCTCCTCTTCCTCCCCTCCTGCAGGGAGCTACTCAGCTTTTCTGGCTCGGGATCTTCCTGCAATCTGCAGGGGTTGTTCAGCCCCTCCTGGCAGAGGATGCTCCACTTGATGGCATTTCTGTGCTTGCAGGGTTAACCCTGTCCCATCCACTCCTGCTCATTTCAAAGCCATTCCATGCTCACCAAGCCTGATGGTGCGGAGGAGCTGGAAGCCTTCCACTAACAACAGGAGAGCTCAGCTGCAGGTGACAGGGGGTGACATCCCCTGTGACAAGGCAGCCACTAGCACCGGCCTCTGGAGTGGTTTCCTTCTTTCTCCCTCCTCTGGGCAGGTTGTTTCCGTTCCTAGAGGCTGGAGGAGCCCACGCTGCAGCCCACTCAGAGCACTCCACAAATGCATGTGAAAGCAAAGCTGAAAGCACAGGGAGCAGAAAGCAGAGTGAGACCCATGGAGAGGGCCAGGAAGGAAGCCAGGTGGAGGTTTGGAAAGATGGGAACTGCTCCACTTTGGCTGGAGGTTGTGGCTTCAGGCCCTGCAGAAGTTAATCCTGGGGAGCATGTGGGAGCTGGGCAGTAACCCTTCATCCCCTGAGTTCCTGCAGCGTTCCTCCCCTTTGTAAGCATCCGAAGAGAAAGACTGGGACACTGGAAGACCAGGACACTGTGCCACAGTCATGGTGAGCTGCCAGGGAACAGGCGCTGCCATCTCTGGGGCTTCTGCAGTGAGGGGGTGCCAAGGAACATCCCTCCTCGAGGCTCTGGCTGCACAAAGGAAAACTGCCCAGGGACGAGGGGTGGAAGGACCCGCACCCCGGGGCTGCAGGAGACCCAGATTCCTGACGCCCACAGCAGCAGAGGATGCAGCTGGCAGCAGCTGCCTGGAACTAGATCAGGAAAACCTCCAGGAACCCCTGGGAGGGTCCCAGGTACCGTTGTCAGGCCCTTGATGACAGAAGGGACTCTGGCAGATGCAGCACAAGATGAACTTTGGGGGTTCACCTGGGTAGCAGGAGCGCTGCCACAGCCAACAGCACAGGGTGAGCGAGGGGCAGCCTGTGCTGTGAGCTGGGCTGGAAGGGAAGCTCTGAGTCTCTTCCTCTGGCTGGGAATTGATGCTGAAATGAGCCTGTATTGTGAGCCCCAGTGACCTGGCCTGTCCTCATCTCATGCTGCTGGGCACCGGGAGAGTGGCAGATGTCACTGATGCTTTAGGTTCAATCTCCAAGCCAAGGTTTTTCCTTTCCCTCCCCAGATACTCCCTTTCCTTTCAATCATTCCAGGTGCTCGCTCCAGAAATTGCCAAAAGAAGCCGAGGGGCAGCTGGCCTGCACAATAAGCTGAGGGCATGATGAGGTGGAAGCAGAACCCAGGGTGGTTTGGAAGACAGATGGCAGCTCTAGTGGAAGCAGCAGTGAGGGATTAAAGGCAGGAACACAAAGCTTGTGCTTTAGGGAATTAGTGTCCTCAGCTGACTTTTAAAGTGCAGTTTAATCCTCACAAGCCTCCTCTGCTTTACCTCAGTGCAGGGGCATGTTCCTGCCATGCTGGTGGGTGCACAGCAGCTTTACTGGCTGTGACAGAACCTGGTCTGGTCGCTTGCGAGGACGGATGGGTGGATGTGGATGCAGCTCCAGCTTCAGGGTTGCTTTGCCAGCCAGGAACACTGCTGCAGCGCCGCTTTAGGGGCAGAAACCCAAACTGAGCCCCCCGGGGTTCAGCATCCGTGACTCCATCAATGCACAAAGTCAATCCATACATGAACCCTGCGAATTCTGCCACGTTCAATCGTTTCCAGCCAGCAAGCAGCAGCTCATACCCTGCTGCCCTCAGGAACAGCCCCTTCTCAACCTTGTGCCTTTCAGCTCCTGGCAGAGCTGCCACCCGCCACCTTCACTGTACCTAAAAATGGGCATTTTCTGTTATGGGAACAGTTGGGGGAGCAGGAGAGAATCCCACCCCCTGTTTAAGAGGTTGATGACATTTCTGACCTGAATGTAAGACAAATGCTGTGAAGCCTTACATGGGCCCGTGGCCAGCCCAGTAAGTAACTTGGATCCACTTCCAGACTAGTGTAGGACACTGGGTGAGCTTTCAGGAGGATGGTACTGCCAAGATGCACATCGACTGGTTGTGATTTGTGGACTATTGGTCATGTTTCCTCCTCTGGTCACTGTGCTTTTGTATTTCAGTGCTGTGTACAGGCTCCCGATGGTGTCCTGAAGCCGTTTTATCTGTTGTACAGCGACCTTTCCAATAAACACTTGTTTTAATCTTGGTGGTTGTCTGAGAAGCCAAATCCTCCCCTGGGGAGGGGTGGCTGGAGCGAGCTCTGTGCTGAGGGGCACTGGAACAGGCTGCCCAGGGCAGGGCTGCAGTCACCGTCCCTGCAAGTGTTCACACAGCGTGGAGACGAGGCCTCAGTGCCATGGGGCAGGGGTGGCCTTGGCAGGGCTGGGAATGGTTGGACTGGATGGGCTTAAAGGGCTTTTCCAACCCAGTGGGTTCCGTGGAGAGACGATGCCCGCAGCCCCATGAGGAGGAGCACGGTGGGGGCTGGAGGCGGGGACCCTGCTCAGGACACAGCTGCAGATGCTCCAGGTTGGAGGGGTTTGTACCGGAGCCGAGTGCTCGGCTGTAGCTCAGGTGACAACCAAACAGGCTCAGGCAGACAGAGCTGGGTCCTGCTGCTGCCTGTGCACAGCACCTAAAACCCATCTCAGGCCAGGAGCTGCGTGAGCACTGGATGCAACGGGACCTGCAGCTCATTTTAAGGCTCCTCCAGCCATTTCCCTTCACCAGCATTTGAACACATCCATTTCCTTACACTGGTGAAACCACTGGCTGAAAGGGTCCCACGGAGAAGCGCACCAGCACGTTAAACCCCATGAGCTGGGCTGTCCCTGGCCTCCCCGGAGCTGAAGGCACTAAGTCAGGATATGGGGGGGACACGGCTGCTGCCCCCAGATAAAGCCACATCCAGAGCCCCCATTTCCTTGCTGGCTGCTGGCAGCGGCCCCGCTGAAGCAGTGAAACGCCACAACAAGACGGTGTATTAAAATACAGACACTTTAATATAAAGACCAAACTTCAAAGCATTGTTTCCATTACAAATCAAGGTAAAGACACAAGAAATTAAGTGGAGGGAGGGGAGGAAAGAAAAAAAACAACCCCTAACTCTTACATTGGGGAGAATTAGAAAGGCAGGGTGGAAATATATATATTATACATACATATATACACAGCAGAAGAATTCATTCTAGTTCTATGGAAGAATGGAAGGAATGAGAGGACAAGTGAGCGGTATAAAACAAAACTCCAACGACGACGACAACAAAAATAAAAAGATAAATTAGGGGAAGTCTGAACTTTAAATAATTCAATTTAATAGACTAAAATTATATAAACTAATTCCTATTCACTAGGAAACATCCCATTATCACTGCCCTAAGAAAATGGGGGGGGGGGGGGGGTAAAAAATCCACTGCAAAATGGATTTCATTAGTAGTTAAAAGTTTACGAATCAATTCCTGAGCAACAGCAACCTCCTCACCTCCTGCTTCCCCTACCCAGGGCCCACTCGGCGGGCGCAGGCTCACCCTCCTGCCGCCTGGAAGTAGAACAGAGACCTAACCAGCTGGGGTTTCATCTGAGACTGAGGGCTGCCCAGAGGAGCAGGGTACACAAGGACGGCTCAGCCCCTTCCGCCTCCTCAGCTCCCCCCCCACCACCTCCCGAAGCGATGGGGCTGAGCGGGCAGCCAGCCAAGGGAGGACTTGGGGTGCGCGCCCCACAGCTCGGCGTTCCGAGGGGGGGGTTTGGTTTGAACCGAGAACAGCTGCAGACGGGCTCACGAACAGCAAATGAGCTGCAGAAAAGTTTCCCTTTACTTCGTGGCCTCGGTTGAAACCCTGAAGTTCCCATCTTTTCTTGCAATACTCAGTCTAAACAGATACTTATGTATTTATAATGCGTAAGGATAAATAAAACATGGCACAAGACCACCTTTAACAGGGGCAACCCATCGTTCAGTGAAAACCTGACACGCAAGCTACGGAGCAAAACAAAACGGGGAAAATCCCTCTGGAACAGCCGTAAGAAGAGGAAAACTCCAGAGCTGAGCTTCCCAACCCTTTCCTGCGATGTCTCCTCAGTGCTGCAAGGAGAGTTCACAAACCCACTGGAACACCGAATCGTTTCTTCTCCCCAAACCGTGGCTTTCAAGCACGTTCTTGTCGGTTTGCAGTCCACTGCAACAACATCCACACCTTCCCCAAAGGAATCGTTTACTTGGAGCTCCCACCACTTAATCCTCTTTGTGCTTTTGGCTCAGGGAAAACAAGGGAAGCAGAATCTGTCAAGAGCTGGGTGGGATGGGATAACTCCCTCCAAGAAATAAGCACACCCATAATGTTCAGGTTTCCAAACCCTCTATTAAAAGACTGAATTCAGCACAGGAAGGGGCTGTACCTAGGACTCGATCCACCAAAGCTGGACTTGATCCACCAAAGCTTCCTCCCATCCCATCAATCCTAAGGAGCATCTTCTGCCATGGGAAGGGACGGTGAGCCCGGGCTGGGGAAGCACCTTTGGTACCTGGAGGTGATCAGCACCAGCTCCAGACCGGCCGAGGAAGGAAGGACCATGGAGGGGTGTGTGCCTGGAGGGGAGTCACCATCGGCAGCCCAAGAACTGAGCCTCCTCTTCCAGCAGCTCCTGAGCGAGGGCTCAGGTCCCACAGGGCCTTGTGCCAGTGTCCCCATAGGGTGACCGAGAGCGTGGAGAGCCTCGGAGGAGATGAGCTGCAGCACAGCCACCGCGCCCCACCAAAACCATCGCCTGTCCCATGGCAGATGCCAGCTCCGCACCCGCCGATGCTCCCCTGCCCCGCAGCCGCTCCTCTGCTGGGGCTCTTCCAAGTGGAAACCAGAACAGGGCCGGGGAGCAGAGGCTGCTTTCCAAACACAACATCCCCGCAGAATCAAACCACGCCGGTGCCTGGAGGTGACCCCGAGCTGCCTGGCCCTGGCCCCCGCACCCAGCGACCAGGGCAGATACAGAGAATCAGGGAGGAGCTTGGGTTGGAAGGGACCTTTAAAGGCCACCTCACCCAGCCCCTGAAGGAGGAGGTTGAAGAAGTGGCACCAAACCTCTCCGAAGGAACCTCTTGAAGGCACCTACACACACGGGGCCCTGCGGCCAAGGGATACTGAAGCGTTTTGAAATGAGATCGAGATGCAAAGGGAGAGCTCACCAAGCCTGAAACCTCTGCTCGGCAGGTTTCAAAGAGAAGTTCCCTGCTCCACTATAAAGAAGAAAGCGACTCAACACTGACATTAACTGGGCTGGGTGAGCATCAAGCCCTGGGGATCTGAAAGCTCTTGACTCACAAAACCAGCGACCGGTGGCTCCCGTTACGTTCAAGTGATGCAGCCTCCTCGCCTGGGTGCGCCAGCGACCGTAGGTGCAAGCACAGGTTCAGTCCCTACAAGCTGCCCTGCATCCCCACATGCACACCCCACCAGCCAGTCCTGGCACAGGGGAAGTGAGCACAAAGCGGGCACCAGCAGGTAAAGCGGCTGCTGCCATTAGGAAGGAAGGAAATGAGATGGAAGCACAAGAAGGTATTTCTGTTTCTCTGGTCAAGCAGACATGTCCCTGTCATTGGAAGAAACCAGCTGGAGACGGTGCCACGTGCATCCAGGAGGTGCTGCATTCCCTGATGTTGGCAACTGCCCCTTCCTTTATGTCCTCCAGCAACATCTTCCCACCTTCTCCCTCCTCTACACGAAAAGCACTGGGACTGCTGGTGCCTAACGGAGGAACCGCTGCGGAATGATGAACGCACAGCAAAGAGCACGTTGAGATTGGTGCCTTTGGAGCCTCCCAGCCTGGCGGATGCGGGTGGACTGAGCCCAGGCCAGAGGCAGCAAATCCCCAGACAAGAGCAGGGCTGGCTCCCGGCAGCAGGCAGCAGCGGGCACAGGCTTTGCTCAGCGCAGGGCTCGGGAAGTTCCTTCCTTGCTCTTGGCAACGCGCGTGCTCCAAGCTGTATCTGAGCTTCCTGACAAGTCCCTGGCACCAGCGGCGCGGAGCAGAGGGAACTTGTGCGACAGCCACGGGAGGCGGGGAGCCGGCAGGGTGTGGGCACGCAGGAGGAATTCCCTTTGGGAACTGCCTGCTCGGCTGTGGCTTCTCACAAGTGTCTCCAGCTCTCGCAAACAGGTTGCGGACCTCTGGCACAGCATTCCTCCAGCAGGGTCACGAGGGTCTTATTCTTGTAGCCGTCTGGATGGGATCTCAACAGCTCAAAGCTGTTCCTCCAGCAGCCCCACAGCAAGAGAAATGCTCTCCCCATTTGCAGACAGAGGGGAAACAGGTTGGACGTGGCCAAGGTTATGGCAAAGCGAGAGAAGATCAGGGAGAGCCGAAGGCAACACCGCAAACCCCTTGGCAGCATCTCTCAGATAACACAACCCGAAGACACCAGTCCCAGAACCTGCACTCGCCTGGTTCCCATCTCACCATCGCTCCCCACCTCATCGGGCACCTTCCTGGAAGCACATCCCAGCGGGGATCACTGCAAGGATTTAGACTGTAGCTGCCACACAATGCAATTACTCAACGCCAGGTGTAGCCGAGCCTGACAGTTCCATCCTGCACCCAGACACCGACGGCTGCATTGCTGTGAAGCTCAGGGCAAAGCTGAAGGGGAGCATGAAAGGCCCAAGGAACCCTGAATCTTGGTGCCTTTTCAGAAGAGGATCTGAAAAGCAGCAATTAAAAGCTTGGGTGTCCCCATCTTTCTCAGCAGGGATATAAATGATAGGGGGGAGACGAAATTAAGGCCGCTGCCCCTCCAGCAATTGCTCAGGCACAGCCTACCGCATTAAAGCCTTCAGAGACCGAGCGCTCGGCCGCCTGCTGGGAAGGATGCTGAGGCAGCTCTGCAACTCCCAGTCACCCAAGGAGCTGGAAGAAGCTGGAGCTGCCCAACTCCCAGCTGCAAAACATCTGGGTTACATTTGTCTTCCTGGATTCCAGGACATAAACTGCGTACGGCTTCTACTAGAAGCTACCGGATGCTTCTCAGCTCTCACCCTCTGAGCATCTTTGCCCTTCTCCAGGTTTCCATCTCGCTGTTAGTCACTCAGCAGGGCGCGTCGCTGTCAACTCCTCTCCCACATGCAAAGCAGGACACGATTCCAAAACGGCCCTCATTTCCAGGGCTATCAATCCCTTCCCTTTCCAGCGAGTAAGGTGGCACGCTCACATCAAGTTTCCGCGCACAAAGGCTGCCTATGGAAGACACACTTGGGAACCAAGAGAATAACTGCACTTTGTCCTAGATCTCTACCAAGATTGCCAGGGATGAGGGGCAGAGGAAAGGGCCTCACTGAACTCTGCAGGAGCCCGTGGAGTTCAAGGACCACTCTGGAACACGCCAGCACGGCGCTCGCAGCCGTTCCCCACGGAGCCAGGCAGCAGGAGCGAGCGCGCAGGGCAGAGGTCTCGTGCCGACTTCAAACCCTAAGGCAGGAGTTAAGCAGCTATGAACAGCTAAGCGTTCTTAGTGACCATGGGATGCTGTGGCCTTGGCAGAGCCCGAGGCCGAGGGGAATGCCCGACTGCTGGAGGTGGGAGATTGCACAGGGAGCACTACGGACCCGGATGGGATTCCAGGACAGCGAGCACTCCGATGCAGAGCAGTCAGGGCTGCCCCTCGGAGCACAGGCCTGCCAAGAAGATGTTCCCCGAAGCCTAACCATCATTTTGCTGTTGCAATTCCCCTTCTTTGCCTGTAGTTTCTTTTAGTGGTACCTGGTCCAGTCTGAACCACAGCCCAGTGTGATCTCTACTGAATGGATCATCCTCCTCCTCCCTTTGTGCACTCGAATAAATAAGTTTTTACAAGTTTACTGTGCATTGTACAATCTAAAAATAAATGAAATAAAAGTATATGAAATTTATATTTTTTCTCATCACATCTCTATAAAATTCAGCTGCTGCTCGGAGCAGCCCTTTCTGTACACAGAACACCAAGTCACAATACAGGAACTGCACCAGTCGGATCGTGTGGCAGCACGTAGGCGAGATCAGGGTGTTTTTGTGAACTACCATTTAGACCTACTTAAAAGCAAGGAAATACAAAAGCAAAATGCACTTTGTCCATCAATGTACACGGCTGATCCATCTCTGACTCAAGTATCAAAACCCTATTAACAAAATACATTGTACTTGGAACAAAAACCAGCAAGCTGAGAATATCTGCTACCTGCACCAGGACAGAAGCCCTATGTTCAGTCTTCCCAATGCTGTAGCAAGGGCCTGACCAATACCAGTGATCACACACCCTGTTCATATGCCAATGACATCTCAAAACAAGGTACCAGCCTAGCTACCAAAATTCACAGTGACTTGAGTGCCACCAGCAACGCCAAATGGCCCAGTGAAGCAATCTGAATGGGGCAGGACTTGGGATTTCTCCTTTCAAAGGTGCCTGTGCTGGTGGAGCTCGCCTGGGCAACCCCAGAGCCTCTTAGCTGCCATCCCAGAGGGGAGCCCGAGTTCTGGTTGGTAATGAACACAGTTAAACCCCCCCCAGTTAACAGAGTTCCAATTAAAACACAGCTTTAGTTAGAAGCCTGCCTTTCTCTGTAGCTCCCACCGCTGCAAACCAGATGGCTTTTGGCATATGAACAGAGCAAGGTGAAGAAATAACCTGCAGACCCTTCTGAGAACTGGGTTTGGCATTGCTCAACCCTCCAAATTCAGCACCAAGGATTCAAACTAGAGGCACAGTTCTGACGGATGAAATAGCACCGAGAGGAGGCTCTTTACATCTCTGCTGGTGTGCCAGTCCTTTATTAATCAGAAAATTTAATAATAAGTTGTGTTTATGATTCTAGGTGGAATAAAATAAGTCAAAATTGTTTTCACTTTAAAAAAAAGATAAATACCTTTATCTAAACTATCAACAATACAAACTGGAGCTTTAAGCATTTCTTTTGCCTTTTTTTTGTCTTTTTTTCTGTTGTTTTTTTTTTAACTCAGATTCACAGTAAATCTTTTCTCTGTCGTTTAGGTCTTTTTATGGTTTTATTTTGTCCAGTAGTAAGAGAGTAGAAACCCCTGCACAGGCCAGGTGAGCACCTTTCAGTGGAAGCCGAGTGAAGTTGGTCCACGTTGTCCTTGCATAGGTCACATTGGGTTGAGGTAGAAATCCTAGTTACCTGCACAACAGGAGGAGAGGAAGAGACTCATCTAAATAAAAGACAAAACTCTACCACGGGTTAGATGTGTCAATCATTTCTACAGTGCTCCAAGGCCTTGCCAGCCAGCAAAGGAGGAGCAACTCTTGTCCCAGCTGCAGTTAGATAGAAAGGATGCCTCCAGGAGCAACAGCAGCTTTTAAGCTTTCATAGAATGGTTTGGGTTGGAAGGGACCTTAAGGCTCATTCAGCTCCAACCCCTGCCACGGGCAGGGACCCCTTCCACTAGAGCAGCTTGCTCCAAGCCCCTGTGGCCAACCTGGCCTTGACCAGTGTAAGCACATTGAACTCTGTGCTCCCATGAAGGCCATCGAGGTGGGGAAAATAAGTAACCCCCCCCTCTGCACTTCACCTTTTCCTAGCACACACTAATCTGCTTTGCATTTCGTATTACCCTGGGAGAGAAGCAAAGCAGTTTAGCCCCTGAGCCCAGTTCAGCCTTGGTTCACCAAGGACTTTGAGCACAGTAAGCACACCAAAGTCAATGAACTGCTCACGTTATTTGACCTGTGTCCAAGAGTCACACAGAGCAGGACCACAGCTACGGTCCATCTGCCACACACCATCTCCTGGCAGCAATGCTTCTGTTGCTTTGCTCCACAGGCCAGCTCTGTCATCCAGCTACTCTGCTCCATGCTTATCACTCTTGTGCCTGGCTTCTTTTGCTCAGAACCATTTTGTGACAGGGCCCACCACAGGGATGGCAGAGTCTAGCCCAGTATAACCTCCGTTCCAGGTAAGACAACTGCTTCAGCACAAGGCTTGCACGCTGTCCTCACCCGAGTCTCACAGCTACAAACCCCTCCTTGCCCCTTCTCCCCCACTCGTTTCTATTCAGGGTCTCTCAAGCCCCTTCCCCATCACACTGTTGCTCTCCACTGGCACGCAGGGATATCACTCAAACCTCAGCCTCGCTTCCTTGTACGGAAGGGGGAATTAATACTTACATGCCTCACAAAAGCCTAATGAGGATTTGTTTTGTGTCTGTGGAGCAATTTGATGATGAAGACACTATAGACAAGGCACAGTCAAAAGAATCTCTCAGGTATATATTGTAATTGAGTCAGATGCTTTATAAGTGGCAAAGAGTATTCAACCATAAATCGTACGTAGCTTTGGTATCAGAGAACAGCAACAACATATAAAGACCTACAGGAAAAGCACGGAGCAAGCCCTGGGGCCTAACAGACCCATGTCACTTTGCAAGCACAAGCTGTTACATCAGGATGCCACAGAGTATTTCCATTAACAGTACCCAACTCTGCAGTGGTGCACTTTATTCTGGGGTTGCTCTGAAGACATTTAAATACCTGCTTCAGTAAAAATACACGCAGTCTCCAGAACCCCTCCTCTCTCCTGCAGCCCCAGCCTTTATGAAGCACGGAGCACAGTTAACCCTGAACATTCCCTGTGTTCTCATTCACAGTGTACTCAGTAAGCCAGTGATTGCCAAGTGGGGATAAACAGAGCACCTGGTGAGCTGGTGACTCTCAGCCCTTGCAGGCAAGTCCAATGAAGCTGCAGCACACAGATAAATCACAACCCTTTGCTACGCGAGGTTGTGCTTGCCACTGATGCAGGGGGCACATTAAGTGCGATGCAAGACCAGTGCATTTGCTCTGCAGCTCGTAAACCAGAGATTTTTAACTCTGTCGTTATTTAGAGCAGTTGTCATTGAGTGGCAGCAAAACCAAGACCACCACATTGCCACAGAGAGTCACAAAGCAGCACCACCAGGCAGCCTAACGCTATGCGGACGTGGGCTTGGGGAGATGCAACAGTCTGTGTCGGAAGGCAAGAAGAAGGGAAGGGGGGAACAGGCAACAACCACTTCCAGCAACTGTATAAAACCATACTTAAAAATAGACATTTCCTCTTGAGTCCTGACCTTCAAAATAAACATTCCCATGAGGTGATCTCCACCTGAACATAATCCTCATGTCAGACAAGACAGACCAGAGATCCTATTGTGAGCACTCCTTGTCGAGAAATCCTGACTCCCAGAACAGAGAGCATTAAGGCTCTCCATCCTCTGCCATCAGATCATTTGCTTCCCACATTTGAGAGGTTTTTCCTTCCCAGAGCCCATCCCCAACCTCTCTCTGAAAAGCAAGAAGCATCATTCAGCATCTTGTACAAAACTCCTCTTTTGTTTGGTCTAGCCTTACCTTACAAAATAAGAACTGTTAGCTAAGCAAGCTCTTTATCGTGGCTTAACCCCAGAAAGGTGCGAAGCATAAGGAGGCTGCATGCCAAGTGTGACCCACAGAGCGGCCGTGCCAGCAGCGTTGGACTGCGTGATCATGGGCGCGGACTGTGCCAGCGCCAAACGGGGCAGAGGCGGGTGATGGACTGTAAAGGAGGGGCGGGAGGTTTTGTGCTGGAGAGAAGCTAGCTTAATAGACAAAGAAGCGTTAGCAGGTTGGACAGAAGCAGCAGAAGAGGGTGGCAGAAAGGCTTCACCAGGTGGGATGGATGGCAGGTTCTGCAGAAGCGCAGGCTCGGAGTTAGAAGCGAGCAATGGAGGAGGTGGGGGCAATGAAACGTTAGGAGGGGGATGGAAAACAGATTGCACTGGCGCTCTGTTGAGGTGCTGAGCAGATCTAGTCTCACTAGATGTTACTAAATTAGAGGAAGGGGGTGGGAAGGATGAGGATGAGGTGCTGGCAACAGCCTGCAGAGGGTTTAAGCTTAGCACTGTGCTGCTAGAGACAGCACTGCTGCTGAAACTGGCTCCAAACTGATGAGGAGAGGAGGCAGAAGGCACCGCATGGTTAAAAATACCTGCAAACAGGAGAGAAAAACTCAGCTTCAACAGATGGGCTTTGTACAGTCTCAAGTGACAAGAGAAACAAAACCAAAAAGAAAAATAAAAAAGAAAAAAAGCAAAATCAAAATAGTTACAGCCCCATACAAAAATATGCAGCATGAGAAGGTAGCAAGCAATGAGAGATAATGGTGCAGGCCAGGAGGTACAAAAGATTTCACTTACCTTTCCTACTGCCAACCTCTAAATGCCACGAGGAAAAATGGTCAGACCCAAGAACTGTCAGTTCTATACCACACAGGTAGACTTTTGATGAGATTACGTGGTCTTTAGAGTTGCTTATCTGGAGACTCAAATTGCTGCTCTTCCCTCCCCACCCTCCTGCTTTCCCACTTACAGGAAAGCAGAGGGGAGATTGCATTTCCAGCAAATCTACGTGCTGAGAGATGTGAGAGTTAGGATTTCCCGACATGGTGCCTGAATGATTATGGACAGGTAAGAAAAACTGCCTTGGACACTTAGCAACGGCAGGTTCAGACTATCTTCTAGTCCTGCCAGCTTGTCTCTGGTTTGGGCCACAGAAGCCAAGCCTGTGCCGAATCCCAGAAGTGCAAGGTGCATATGGCATTGCCCTTCCTGGCAAAGAAATGCTCTTCATGTCCATTCAAGAGCCAGAATGCTACGCAATTCCCAACACCATCTCCTCTGAAGAGGCGCTGATGTTTTGCTCTTCCTGGATCATGCTAATTCCATTCAAGGCCTAATCTCAACCTTTACTCAAGTTGTCAAGTTAGAGATCCCCAACTTGGTACCAGGACAAGTTACAGCTTTTACCTGCAGGCGGACCCAAGCTGGTTCCAACACAGCAACATCTGAACAAGCATACATTATGAAATCACAAAGTCTGCGTGTATTGTTTCATTAAAGGTGATACAACAAGCCCATCTAGTAGACAAAGCTCATGAGATTTCACTGTGGGGAACTGAACTCATCCTAGCATTTCCGAGAGATAGAGGAGACTGGTTATGTGGGACAGATGTGCTTCACATCCTGCAGAAATGAAAGGGTTTCACCCCTGGAGAGGCAGTGTCAGACTTTCCTTTAGGCCCTGTCTTATACCAGAGAAAGAGTTCTGCCTACCTCCAACTGTTCCACCTGTAACCCCAGGAGAGAAGTTCCCCATAGTGTGAGAATTAGTCAGTCTGGTTGCAGCTGATGACACGTGGACCAGACTGGCAGCAGCTGGCATTGAATTAAATAAGGACTGCAATACTGAGGAATTTGTCACCGAGTTGAGGTTCGCTTGCAAGGCCATGGGGCCGAGGGGGAACTGTGATCCAGTGGTCAAAGTGTTTAGGAAAGGATGGTGCGTCTGAACAGAAGATGCTGGGTTGCCTGCTGAAGAAACAGCAGTAGAAAGGCTTTTACCATTCAAAAGGCCACCAGAGGAAACAGCAGCAGAAATGAAAAGGTTGTGGCCGTTTTTAAACTCCACATCTCGGTCCCGTCCTTTGCCAACCTTTCCGTTATGCTGCAAAGAGTTTTTGTCTGCAGAACCCCCAGTGCGGATGCTGATCTCGCTGATGTCTTTGCCTTTGACCCCTGCCCGATTTAAGTCTTCTCCTTTCGTGCCGCCGAGGCCTTCGAGTTGCCTCTTGTTCAAGAAAGGATTCGTTTCCGATACCCCCACATCTTTGCTTCGCTGTGACTGGAAACCCAGGGTGCAGTTGGAAGTCGTCACATCTGAAGCTTTATGTGGAAGAGAAGCACCATCGATAAAGCTGTGTAAACCCATGTCACTTGAGAGCCCACCATTGTAGGGAAAGCCGTTAGTGGAGTTTGTACTGGGGCTGAGCCCATCCGCCCCGGAGGAGGGCATGGCAATGCTTTTCCTGGGGTGTGCCGGGATCTTGGCATCCATGGCAAAGCTATCCTCAGTGGAGGGCCTGAAGGCAAACAGCGAATTCTGGCTCAGAGATGAAACCGACTGCAAGGGACTATCTGTAGTTTTGGTCAGGTTGATGTCGGATATTGGTGAAAAAGTAGATTTCCATTTACTGCTGTTCATGTTCTCGTTGCTTTGTGCTTGTTTCCTCCCACCTAAGCTGCCACCTAGTTTGGGAGAAGAGTTGTAAGCATCAAAAACCATCACGCACTGAATCCGCTCATGAAGAACAGGGGGTTAATTTTTCAAACACACATTCTATCAGTCTGTAACTCTGTTTGGGATCCATATTTATGTCACCTTAAGTTCTTAAAATTTACTTTAATGCTCTGAAGAAGTTTGAGGATCACAGACCTTAAAGCTCCTCCAGCTCCAACCCCTGCCACGGGCAGGGACCCCTTCCACTGGAGCAGCTTGCTCCAAGCCCCTGTGTCCAACCTGGCCTTGAACACTGCCAGGGATGGGGCAGCCACAGCTTCTCTGGGCACCCTGTGCCAGCGCCTCAACACCCTCCCAGGGAAGAGCTTCTGCCTAAGAGCTCATCTCAGTCTCCCCTCGGGCAGGTTAAAGCCATTAAAATCTTTGATTTGCCCCAGCCAAGGGAAATCATGTCCCAGATCTGTACCTGTGCCTCCTCACTAAACTTGATGCCGCATGGGATGCTGAGCTACTTCTTCCTTCACCTTTGTACTACAGATCCCTCCCCAAACCCTCAGTCACTGAAAAACCCTGGTCAGAGCTCTGGGGACTTGTCATTACAGAAAGAATTAATCCCAAATCTGTGAACCTGCCCTGGCAGAACTGCACTCTGCTCAGCAGCACAGAGCACACAAACTCCTGCTGCTGACAACTTCAGTCAGAGGCAGACACCCATGCCCAAGCCCACCCATTACAACAACTAACACTCCTCACACCTACCATTTTCAACAGTCTTCTGTGGAGATTTGCTTTCCAATGAGATTGTTGCAATTTTCCTCTCAATTCTAGTGGGAAAAGAAAAAGATTATAGCACTCACTGCAGACCTTTTGTTGCACATCCACTCTCGTAACGTGTCCTCCTCATGTTCATGACTTAACAGTTGATTAGAGTACAAAAAGCCAAGTCATCTAGATAGCTCTATGCTAGTAAAGGAGCTTAAAAGTATTAAAAAAAATCCACCACAAACTTGAAGTAGAAGCTATTACAGAATTACTGCTCTTTGCCAAGATTAGGGCACGTTTTGAGCACTTCACTGTTGCTTTTCTTTCACAACAAAAGCAGGCTGTTGCTCCTGTTTCTACAGAAGTGGTTACTTCCCCAGTACCTTAAACAAGGAAAAAATTGCACCCCACAGGCAGGCAAAGGTGATGAACAATCATTTTGCAGAGCAATGTATCAACCAGCAGTTTGGGGCAGGAAGTAAAGAGTTTGGACTCAAGCTGAAACTGGGAGTAAGCAGCAGACAGACCCATAGTTAAAGATTGCACGCACAGCCTCCGTACTGCCACAAAGCAGTGTAGTAAAAATGCATTCCTACACTAAGTCTTTCCAAGGCCAGGCTGCCAGCCTTGCAAACACAGCAACAGCTCCCACATTCAAGCACTGCTTCCGGAATACCTTCCCTATTCACAGTTTCAGCCACTTAAGAGGCTTGGCATAATGGAATCAGCCTCCAAGCAATAGGAACAAAGGTGGCCTAGCACCTCTCCATTTAGAGCACCACAATCAGCTCCCAGAGAAATCTCATCCTGAAACCCTTCCCTGGGTATTCACCTGCTGCTGTTGTGCTCATCTTCAGATCCCTGCTCTTCATCTGACGTTAGAGGGGAGTAATGAACACCATTGGTCTGAAGCAGGGGCTTTTCCTTTTTCAGTACCGGGGGCTGGTCATTGTCCTGGTAAGGAACAGGAGAGTTCTTCAGGGAGTTTTCAGGAGAGGAAATGGCTGTTATTTCTAAAGGCTGGTTAATGTTATTGACCTGGGCAAGAAGGAAAGAAAGCAGTTACAGATGAGAGTATCCCTTTAAAAACAAAGCATCTTACTAAGGGTATTAAAACCAGGCTTAACTTGCTCAGCTTTAGGATGCAGCAACAGCTGCTTGTTTAGCACTGCTCCTGCACTAAAACCTGGGATGAAAGCTTAAAGATAGCAGAAAACCAGATAATTTTCATTCTTTGCTTTTTGTGTTTTAACACAGAAATGAAAACACGGGGTAGCCACATTTCTTCTCAAACTACCACTGCAGGACCAGATGAACGCAACTTGTATAGCTGGCTTAATTATGCAAGAATGCCATATGCTTCTGGCACTCGTAAAGCTATTTAGTCACTCTTAGTTTAAACTATTTTCAAAATATTTAACCTAGAGCCTAAAAAACCAACTTCACTGCAGAAACAAGGTCTGTGTCCTAAGGGAAGATTACTACTTTTAATTTTCACTGCTCTGTCAGCAAAGAACTCCTTGAAGACATTCTCCCTATACAGAAACAGCTCCCCAACTTTTCAGCAATTCCCCGGCCTCTCAGAAGGGCCATTTTCACCCAGGCTCTTCACACCAGGTCTTGCCACTATAACAGCCTGGGAGTACACCAAAGAATAGCTGAATTGCCAATTCCAAGAGCCTTCCCAAGCCCTTCTCTCTTGCTAGAGCTCTTCCTTTCTGCCCTTACCATGGAGTTGATATTGAGCGGTGACCCCGACGGTTGCGTAAAGAGTCCAGACACAGTAGGTAAGGATTTGCGTTTAGGGGAGACCCCGGAGTTCCCGCTGAGATTCCCAGTGGAGGATCTCTTCCGCCGGCCTCGCTTCTTCCCATCCTGCGCGTGTGCTTGGCCACAGTCCAGCCGAGCGCTCGTGGGCAGCGGACTGTGCTTGTTGGAAGGGGATTGTTTTACATGTCCTGTATTAGGAGAGATTGTAAAGATGATTCTTCTCTTGGCCTCGTTCTCAGGATCTGAAAACGCTGCATCAGACTGAAGATCCCCCTTTGTTCCTTCGGCAAACATCTTCTGAGCATCTGCATATTGCAATACCCCTACCAGGCTCTGGGATGTGCCATTTAACCTGGGGCTTGTTGAGTGCTGGTGAGCAGGGGAGTTTTGCCCAGAGTTCCTTGACTGCATCATTAGCAAAGGATGTTGTGGAGTGGAACTCCGAGACCCTACTGAGTTAAACAGACTCCCAGAGTCGTCCAGAGCTGCCTGATCAACACTATGGTTAAGATGGGCTGGGCTGTTTGTAAGATTTCCATTGACTGCCACGGAGCCAGAAGAGTAAGAAAAACCTGTTGGAAGGGAAAGTATGCATCATTGCTTCTGCTGAGCGACAGTTCACAGTGCTAGATTTCTGGGATGACTGGGAGTGGTTTCAGCTCTACCTCCAGGAGATCAGCAGACACAGGAAACTCAAAGCTGCTTTTTACACAGCGCAGTTGAGAACGTGGCTCTGTGGGCTGGTGGCTTCAGTTGGGGATTAATAATTTGCTCTACTCTTTTGCCAGTTCAGGAAAATTCATGTGATATGTAAAGATATCCTATGCTCTACCTCTTTTCTAAAAGGGAATCCAAGTGTAAGCTGAACTATTACACCTCTTGAAATCAGGGCTTCTCTACTCTCAACTCCTTCCTATCATCAAGGAAATAGTTGGGCAAATTCAGTCTGTTCCCTTCCCAAAAAGAGAAGGGACTTGGTCATCCATACAGCTCACTTCCTTCTCTAAGTTAAACAAAAGGCTGTGGCTTAGGAAGCGACAGGGGATCTTCAGAGACACCGTGGCAGAAGAATGCCACGAGAGGAAGGTTGGAAAGGGAATGAAGTATTTGTCGTGGTGTATCATAAATGGGTTCAGTGCTCTACTAAGGCCTGCCTCTGGGCTGCCTAAGTGGAAGGGGGAGAAGGAAACGTGGTGTTGGTTTATAACAAACAGGTTTTTAAATACTTCATTGGTTGGATAGAAAACTGCAGCCAAGCCCTCCTTTGCAAAACAGATGCTAGAAACAACACAAGCCCCTTGAGGTGGTAAACATCAGGAACACATGCACTTTCTGATGAGGGATCAGGTGTACAATAACTTCTGGATTCTAGAGCCTACTTTTCCTGGTCCACAACACTGCCATATCCTGAACAACTAAAGGCCACAATTTCATCAGACGAGCAAGTTCAGAAGCAGTGTCTGCACTCAAGGTACCTCTATCCTCTCCCATTCAACCTTTCTTCCTACCCAGATCCTTGTGCCTTTACAACTGCTCACGAGGCACCAGTGTGACCTGCATCACAAAACTAATTTTGATATTGAAACCTCACTCTGTAAAATAAAACTTCTAAAGCCCAACCATCGGCTCGTAGCAGAGCTACATAACACTTCACTGGTTTGCCACATCCTAAAGGTAGGAATCTCTTCACCCACACAGAAGAATTTGCAAAAAGCAATTATTAATGTACAATGCAAGAAGCTGCAGTTCAGTTAAAGGCACGTCAGACCAATCCTTTATGCCAGAATGCATCTAAATCTGGTTACAAAACCCACATTTCTCTAGCATGGAGTGACCTGACAAGAAATGCTTGGGGGTGCTGTCCCCACAGACAGGGCACCTGCGTGTAGGTAAGGCTGTTACCTGAGGTAGCCAAAGCCAGTGGCTTGTTTCCAGCAGCATTGCTTACGCCATTATGAGAACTAGCACCAATCTGCTTTTCAAGTGTCGATGAGTCTCTACTCTGGTGAACTGGGCTAGGTGTGCTTCTCTGGGGAGAGAAACAGGCGTTTTAGTACAGGAAGTATCCTCAGAAGTCAACAGTTTAAACCAAATTCACATGCAATAGCAGACTGACCAAGTGCTTCTCCTTCCTAAATGTCCCAGATTTTGCTTATTTTGACAAAGGCACCAGTCAGCATATTACAGGACCAAAATAAATACTGGGATTATTATACTGCAACAGTATCTAGCACACAGCAGATACCATGCAGATAGAGGGAGCGCAGGCTCATCATCCCAGGAAGTTTAGACTCAGGACAGCACTGCAATCAGAGTTCACTGCTTCACAGGCAGCCAGAAAGGAAACAAATGGTTGTACCACATCTCCAAGCCAGTGCACACAAAGTTCCCCAAAACAACCCCAAAGTGAATGTGGAATGCATCAGGCTGTGCTCTCTGGTACACAAGCAGTGTTTTCCTAAAGCAGGCAAAACAACTGGGATATGGTTGCCTGAATAAACTATGTGCTGAAGTGAGAGACACCACCCAGAGCTAACACTGTCTCCGAGGACACACAAATTCTGCTCACAGCTGGGCAGACTCTAGCTCTGCTACAACCACAAGTCTTCAGCTGGAAAAAGACAATGGAGCAAACGGTTCTCTGCTGTACCACTTAAGTGACAAACATCTGGAAGAAACTGGACCAGGCTTTTTTAAACTCCTCTGCCACTGAGGGGTACAGACTCAGCAGGATTTCAAAAAGAGATGCCCCAGAAGTTCTCTGTGTCCTCTGCTGCTCCAGAGCTGTCACTCACACGCCAGGTATTGCAGCCTCAAGGCGCTATTCGAGTTCATCCTGTTATAGACAGCTTTAAGATGCCCAAACTGAGGCAGAAGAATTTGTCTCCCAGGGCCATGCAAGAAGGCAGGGGTTAAGAACAAACTAACGTGTGATTCTCTGCTTTCACTGCCACAAACTCTCAGATTCTGTGCCTCTTCCACCCAGCTGGACATTTAAGACCAGGATCACTTGTGGCAGGTACTGCACTTTCCTTCCTGGCAAACACCACCACCCCAGAGTCACATGAGAGGAAAAACCTACAGAATGACCACGAGCCAAGAGGATGCATCCCAACAGCTGCCTCCCCCAAAGCATCACAGTCAAGATTAACAGCCCACTAAGGATTCTGGTGCACAGCACCCCCTTACTCCCCACTGTGATTTTAGTTAGGGATGGAAAGTGTTGACAATCCCTTACTCACCACCTTCTCAACACGGCTAGGTAGGACTACGCTGGCCAGAGGGATACTAACAGGGAGTTTATTGGGCTGCACTGTGCTGAGAGGAATACTGATAGGTAAGCTGGTGATAGTTTCTCCATTACTCACAGAGGTTCTCTCTCTCAAAACCTGTAAATGCAAAAGAAAAAGGAACATTCTTAACCACATGCTGTTACTAAAAGACCTTCCAAACTACCTGTAACCTGCTCATTTATATCCCCTTCCCCTTTTAAAGAATTACAGGATGAATAGCAGTGACTATATAGCAAAGACAGGGCATGCGTGGAGCAGCTTTGTTACCAATATCCAACAGCACAGAAGTATGTAAATCCAAGCTACTGCTGGCCCCAAACATAAGGAAAAAGATGCCTCAGGCAAGCTCATTTCCTAGTGTTGTTGTTAGAGCTCTGTGAAAAGCAGAATTCATATCTTGAGGCCCTCTGTACACAGAAAATGTAGTAGCCAAAAATATCTCCATGGTATCCTCCTATTAGAGGGCACCTGCTTGCTCTGAAATAAGCACCAGCACGATCCATGGCTGGAGCAATTCCATGGACAAATCTTTGTTATTTCTAGTTTTGTAACTATGAAAGAAACTACTTTTCAAGTTCAAGTAGAGACACACCAGATCAGAAAGAAGTCCTACTGCATTGCTGGTGCAGTCTGTCTACAAACCAGTAGCTTAGAGGTGAGCACGTCTTTCATGAGCACAGTATTCTCTTCCTCTGGTCAGCAATCTTCTGCTGTATCACACCTACTGTATTTTGTGTTATTTCCCATGGCAAGCAGAGCACAGAAAGGAGGGTGCCTGCACTCCCTAATTTGACCAACTTCCTCCTTGTTCCACCAGGTGTAACATCTCTGAACCTGAACACAAGCAGCTCGCTTACCTTCTCGCCTGCAACTGGTAAGGCCGCTGGGGAAGAGGGCCGAGTTTCCTGTGGACTCAGCTTTATGCCATTTGAAATACCAGGGCTTGGGTATGTAAGGCCATTCTCTTTGACATGGTCAGCTCTGGAACACAGATGTAGGATCATTAGACTATAAAGTGAATGACTTCTCTTCTGTAAGGAATTCCTGTACCAAACTCCAGGCACCACCTTATTTCCCCTATCAGGTGGGTTTCTGGAAACAAAACTTTAAATAGCTCATTCATCTTCACTTTTAAACATATTTTTCCACAGTCCAAATAATCCACTGTAATTAAAACAAGCAATTACCCCTCCTTTCCCAACCTACGAAGTGATCACTCTCACCTCTGTATCTCATTAGCTGTTGCTTTTCCATTGACTCCATGGTCTTGATTCAAGTGTCTCCTTAGTGCGATTTTAGCTGGGGAAAACCTGGTATAGTCAGGTAAGGACAAGCTTGTCATCTTGTCTGCCTTCTGTCTGCTGCTGTGGTTGGGGGTACACGGAACTATTTCTTGGTCCAGGTGAGAGGTTGTGTACTGAGGGGTGTTCTGCTTGGAAGAGGGCCTGCTAAAGGCGTTGTGAATTTCATAGGGAGTAGCATGGCCGTTCATGGACAGTTCAGGGCTCATGCCATTGATGTGGGGCATAGGAAACTTGGAGCATTCCAGCTCCAGTTGGAACCTGCCATGATCAGCCTCAGGATCACGGCTCAAATGGGTTTTATTGTGTAGCTGTACTGATAGGGACTCGTCAGACGGTGTGTATGATTTCAGTTGCATAAGCTCTTGCTGTCTTTGACTCTTCTCAAGTTCCACAATGCTGATCTTTAAATGAAGAGGAAGACAATGATTAAAGACCACACTTAGCAATTCTAGTGCATTATGGAGCTTTGCCTCCATATGTTTCTCAGGAAAAGCAGCCCCATTTCTGGAAACAACAGACCCAAAATTTGAGAAACAGATTTCAAGATGCTGCTCTGAGCTTGTGACCAAAAGGCACAGGTAAGGGCTCAGAGCTTCTCAGAAAACACCCTTCAGATCTTAAAAGCAAACATAAAATATCTCCAACTATACAGACAGAATGGAGTAGCTCAGTACTGCCAGTCATTGAAGGAAACAGTCACTCCACATCAAACTACCTCACAGCAAAAGAAAAGTTCTTAGACAGGAGTGTAATTTCTTTTCACTATGGGAAGTGACACTCTGCGAACTGATTCCTGAACCAAGACATCAGAGCACACATGCAAAGAAGCAAGACCTGCTTTTAAATTGTACTTGATGGTAAACCACGATTCCTTCTTCCACAGCATTACCAAGGAGAGAGCTCATAGCATCTACTTCCCTTAAACGTTATCCACCTCTTTTTCAAGTTGACTAAAATACTCTAATAGAAAGATTAATCTGGGGTGGGAGGAAACCACCTATCTTCTCCTTTAACATCATATCCAGTCACATACCCTTAACTGGCCCATTGCTCAAGAGCTACCCCATGTTGGTGGCTCTAGATTTGTTTCTTGCTCTCTACCTGCAATTCCAAACAGTGCTTTTGTTTCTCAGAAATCTGATTCTTCAACGCCTGCTTCTCTTTCAGCAAGTTCTCCAGTGACAACGTTGACCAATCCAGCTTCAGTTCTTCACACCGTGCCTTAAGCTGCGATGACACAGGATAAACAGATCAAAAGACAACTTTCTCCACACCACCCAAGGTGCAAGCTGAAAGCCAGGCACCTTCCAACTGGATGTAAGCAAGAAGCTTCTTAACCCACTGAAAACTCCTCTCAGCTTAAGCCAGGCATCACCTTGTGGTCCCCACATAACGTGGCAAGATGTGACCTGGTCCTTTCTAAAAGCAGTGTTATCACCCACCCTCCCTAACCACTTCCACATGCCCTTCACCTGCCTTAACAGTTTGAGCTGCCAAGATGAACAGTGAAGAGTTAAAACAAGCACTGGACAAACCTCTTGGCCAGAGAGATCCAGATTCAGTTCCAAGAACATACACAAGGGCAAAGCCGTTTACAGGACACAGCTGAGTCAACTGTCACCTGAGCATTTGGTCAGAGGGAAATCAAAGAAGGACCACCTACATTCTTTCCCCCATCATTCCTCCCTCTTACAGAGGGGCTATGACAGCTGGATGATTTATCAGTTGTAAAGATCCCCTGAAGACAGGGACAGCACTGGGCTCTGAACTGTCCTCCTTAAATAAATGGCACCAACACCCTGCTACTCAGACACAAGCACTGTACACACCAGCTGTAAGCTCTGGTTCCTGAGTTCACTGTTATCCTTCTCCAGCTGTTTCGTCTGTTCTTTCAGTTGCTGATTGTGAGCAGAGATCTCCTTCTGAGCCTGAATCAGGTCATTGTATGTTAGAGCTTTAACTCCCAGCTACAAAATGAAGAGTGAGGAAGAGAAAGAGATCACTCAGTAAGGTCTTGACATCCTACTTCCAGATGATTGTCACATTCAGAAGTGACACCGAGGAGATCTTGAAATGGCAACACAAGAGTTTGTTCCTTCCACCAGCAGGGAATACATCCTTCACTAAACTACCACAGTGCTCATGGTCTGTCACCCCCTGCCACTGAACACAACGATTTCAACAATGAAGACAAAACACAAACAAAGAGTGATACAGATTCCACATTCTTTAGCATGATCTGCTGCAAAACAGGGGCTCAAGACCTGGGACTACTCTGGTCTTATTTTACCAAACTCGTTTGCATGCAGATGAGTAACAAGCATCCACTCCCACCAGATCAGGGCTACCTCATCAAGTTTCTGCTGAAAAAGACGTTTGATTTCCTCTTTCTGTGCCTGGCAGTGAGTGAATAACTGCTGTGCTGTCCCCAGCAACTGAGCATTCTTTTCCTGCAAGAGAGAAGAGTGAGGAAATACACTTTTAGCACCAGCTGCAGCATGGTCCCTCTTAATGAAACCATTACACCCCGTTTCTGTAGCAAGTTGGAAGTGAAACTCAGCTCAGAGGAGAATTGTATGAACTAATCTAGCTCTGCCTCAGGTATCTGTGAGCCTATCCTACACAATGCTCATGGAAGACACACAGTAAATTAAAACACTGTGGGGGAAGATAGGAAGAAAGTCATCAATAAGCCAAACCACTTGTATCTCCAATGGCAGAATTACTCCAGTGGGCCACATGACCCTTCCACTCACAGAACATTTCCTGCCTATAACATTCCTTGACTAGATACTTCCTTACTCATTTCATGGTCATGCACTGTGCGAGCAGCAAAGGGCAAGGACAGGACTTTGCTGAAGAGCCTCATTTATTCCATTCCCACATGAAAGATCAGTGCAGCAAAAGCAGTAAGCTTTGGAGACTGACACTTTTCTCCAACTTTAGCTGCTGAGGCCCAATGGGAATTGTGCAGAAACTGAGCCATGGCTCCAGAAAACGTGGAGGACCAGGGCAAAAAGCACCTGGATCTTCCAAGCAGGGGAGCAGCAGTGCTGGCAAGTTCCACCTGTGTGAGGGAACACAGGACCTGGCATACAGCTCGCGTTGCCTCTCACGCCAAGGACTTGGGAAAGCAGCTGAATCACTGCAATGCTAAACAGCTTGCCACAAGTGATGCTGAAAAAAGCCTTTAGGCTTTCAACAGCAATTATTTCATCCAGCCTTCACAAGCAGCAGGAGCTGACAGCTCCACCTAGGGGTAATCTGGTGAACGAGCAACTCACAGCATCTTCACTGACTGATAGGGTTGGAAAGGGCCTTAAAGCTCACCCAGTTCCAACCCCTGTCACGGGCAGGGACACCTTCCACTGGAGCAGCTTGCTCCAAGCCCCTGTGTCCAACCTGGCCTTGAACACCGCCAGGAATGATGCATTCATCTTGTGTATTTTAAAACCATATTACAGAAACATTTTTCTTGTACTTGAAAAACCTTCATGTAATAGAGAGTCATTAAACAGGCTACACAACAGCATCTCATCCAGCAAAGTTCTGCTCCTGCCTTTGTGAACTTTAACTTGCCATAAGTCTCATGCTTAATTCCTCAATTTTAATGTCTTCAAGTATGCAACAACTCATAGACACCAAAGTGAAATGATTACTTTTCCACACTCAATTTCCACTTTCAGTGTATGCACGGTACTTGCACACTATCATTTCCCATGCTGCTTCTGGGCAGGGAGATCAGTTAACTTCATGCTGACTTTCCCGACCAGTAACAAAGAACCAGAAAACTACACTGCTTAAGGAAAAGGTTGAAAATTCAAAGTGCTGTTACAGAGTGAAAACAAATGGAAACCCCCATAGAAAAAGTCTGCATCAGCACCAACCGTCAGTAATGAAGAGGGTGGCACAAATCAGCCTCTGTCATTTGGGGAAAAAAGAGCTCCCCTTATGGAAAACTCCACCAAAGAAGGCTATGGCTTTATGCTGACACCTTCACAAAGGTCACAGAGCTAAGGAAAGCTTCCATGGGACTACCAGAAGCTGGAACTGGACAGGAGTGAAAGGTTATTGTTGAGTTCTATGGGGGAAGGTTCCTTCACAGAAGTAGCAGCAGAGTCTCTCTCATCAGGGCTAATTTATAAAGCGATTAAATTATTCAGAACTGAGGGAAAGCAACACAAGAAGCAAAGGGGTTTAGCTGGAAATCTTCTCCCTCTGCTGGGGAGATGGCTCCATAGCAGAGCCAAACACACCACAGCTGCAGGAGTTTCTTTGCCTTTCCATGTACCCATGACTTGGTAAATTTACACCTTGCCCACCAGTGCAATCTTAACACATTAAGATTCTCACTACTAAGAATGCTTCATTAAATCTCTTAAATCAGTGATGACAGTTTGGGGCTTTTTTATTCCCATAATTCAATTTATTACAGGTTTAATGAACCATCCTGATGCTGCAGTTCTCAACTCGTTTAGGCTTTCTGACAGTGGGAAAACAACAGATGTCAAAAAGCAGGAAATTCAGCTCCAAGGAATGGGTATCTGTGTGTTTTTCAAGACAGTCCTCATTCAAAGTTGCAGCAATCTTTGGCTAGATTAAGACCAGTTTAATTATCTAAGAGCAGTATGACTAGCAAGGTGCAGGACGCAGGGAAGCCCCTCAAAGCGGAGGGTAAGGATGAGTTCAGGCAGCACATGCTGCTGGGGGGCGACCACCACCTCTTGCTCCCCTGAGACATTTAGAGAAGAAAAGCAGCTGCCAATCCCAAGTGGGAGAAAAGGACACCAGCTTCCTGCAGAGGAACACATGCTTCATGTCAAAATCAGAGTTAAAAACACAGATACTGAAGTAAGTCTTATTAGATGGAGGGGCACCAGAGGGAAGAGGGGAGGTGCATCTCTCCCACTTTGTAGATGGGAAATTTAAGCACACAAAGACTGAGTTAGCAATAAACTCCCTAGATTCAGCCTAAGCATTACTCTGGTGGAGTCTTTATAACTGGTGTTACTTGCACACAATTTTCCACGCCCATCCAAGGCATCTGGTAGTCTGGCAATTTTGTTTAGAAATGTTAAAAACGAGACTGACCTTTTCCTGTTCCAGTAACTGTTGCAGACTTGCTTTATACTGAGGAGTTTTCATGTATGCCATGAACTGCATGTACTGGATCTTAAAAGAGTCTGCAAAATAAATAAGGAGGTTATATGTTATAAGCGAGAGTAAGTGCAACACTCCTATTTACCCCTGTTTGCTCCCTTGACACCTCTCTCCCCTTTCCCTCTCTTGCTTTTTATCTGGACTGTAAGTAAGACCAAGCCATTAAAGATCAATTTAGAGCACGCTGAAAATCCATCCTCTGATGCCAGCTGAACTCTGGGATCCATTAGCTCCTTCTAATAGGTATCCCAACAGAAGTCATGACAATACATTCAGAAACCAGAGGGAGACAATGGGTGCTAATGGTGTTCACATGATGAAAGAGAAGATGAACATCTTTCATTATTTCTACTTACAGTGCATTAAAAGAGATGAGCTGTAAAAGCCAAAACCAGCCCCCAGCTCAGAGGGCTCCTTCTCCCAGCTTCACAAGGACAGGGCTTGCTGTACTCCTACTTCCATACACACAGATGACAAGCTCTACACCCACATTCACTCTACTCTCCAAGGAGCATTTGCTTATCACTGTCTTATCTCCAGTCTCCTATTACACAAGGAACCTCCCTTCTCCCCAGCCCTCACTACTAGGGCTCCTGTCATCATAAAGCCAACCACATGATTAAGTTCAAGCTGCTGCAATCACAGGCAGCCAAAACAGGTAATGAGTAGAGAGACCTTTGCAGCAAGGTTTACTCCAGACAGGTGTTCATCTCCCTGCTTCCACACACACCCCAACATAAAATGTTCCCTTAAATCACTTTTTCTCTGTACAGTAAGAATCCAGTCATAACTGTAAGACACCACAGCAGGAGAGGAGAAGTTTAGGACATCACTGATGTCCTCGGTCTCTACATAGACAGATTCCCAAGTGACCCGAGACTGGCTAATGCTCAATGCCCAGAAATGGGGAGGGAACATACACCACCAGGAGTCCCTAAAAAACACTCTCCAAGTTTTTCCCTAAATCAACTCTTGCACATGGAATGTATTTTCCAATCACACCACCTTTGTGACCTCAAACTCAGGCACTATCTCATATACTTCGCTCTAAGTTATGCAGAGAAAATGGCATGATGTTCCCCAAGATTTAAGAATAAGAGAATGGTTTCATTTAAAATAGTTACTTCTGACTAGACACTTCCATTTAAAGTTATTTTTAATTCCTGCTAAACCCAAGCTTATTTCCTTTTGCGCCAAATATGAGCTGAAACAATGCCAAAAAGCAAATACAGACCAAGACATCAGCTTCAGCAGCAAGCAAGAGAAGAGGCCTTGTGGTGACACCAACAAGGGGAAGAAGCTAACCCTCTCTCCTGTTCAATATACAGCTTTCCACAGAGGCTGTCTATTAGTAGCCCTTTGATGTTCATGTTCAGAAATCACACATTCACAAACCTCACAGTGGAGGTTCCCATGCCAAACAAGTGACCACACTGCAGTCTTACCTAGCAGCTTCTGTAGTGCAGGTGGGGTAGGTGTCACCAGTAGCTGGTTAGATGAATGCCGTTGCACTTTAGGAGGTAGTTGGTAATATGGACTATGAGGTGACTTGTATGCATCTGGAGAGAGAAACAAAGATAACCTTTCAGATTATGAAAGCCAAGTGTTTCTGGCACTTTAGCACCGGAGAGCCCATCATTTACAATGGGAGATCCTGTAACTTAGCAGGATCACCACACTGCAACAGATTGTTTAGAAGGACATCTACAATTTATCCTTAGAACATTAGCAACAGAGACAAGCTCAGCAACAGCTTCTGGCCCAGTACCTACAGACAGGTTCAATCACCATCTTCTCACAGAAGCATACCATCATCTCACAGCGAGCTTTGCTTTGGTGGCAAGAGAGAAGTTATGACACAAAATCAAACTACGCCTAGCAATAAAGGAACAACAACCTTCAAGCATGCACTCAGAGCCTCAGATCCTTCTCTAGGCTCATGTGGCAGGGGGAAGCTTCTTCCACTGCCAACTTTGAACTCACCCTGAGGAGAGGATGAAGATGTCTGTGAAACAGTTTGAGCGTGCAGAAGTTCTAGTGCAGTTTGGCTCTTCTTGGTCTTGCGCTCTGTGTTTGCAGTGTTCATTTTCTTGGGACGTCCCCGTTTCCTGCCTGCCATTTTCCTTCCTTTTTTACTCAGCTTTTTCTTCCGGGCTTTAGAGGGAGATGGCTTTTTAACAGAATTTGCTGCAGCCTTTTCTTCTTCAGCACCAGAATCCTAAAAGACATGTGGAAGCCAAAAGCTCTTTAGCCATTCCTACCTACATGCGCAGGGTTCCTTTAAAGCAAGCATTAATAACTTTAATAATTTTATGAGAGGAAACTGATGCACTGTAGTTAAATAACTGGGCAGTAAAGTAGACTTGGTTGGGATAAGAGCTGTCCCTAACACCCAAGGAGCTGCACTCATTCTCTTCTGGACTTATTCATAACAGAAAAGGAAATCTGTAACTGTTGTCTAAGAAAAGATGATTATTGATTATATTCTTCAAGTGAGTTTCATTAAAATCTCAATATATTTTTGTGCATGAACAGTCACTGCGTTTCTAACAGTATTATGCAACTGAATGAGAAAGGAAATGAGTCTTTGCAGGAGAGACTCAGCACACTTTGAACTCCATTCAATGGGTATGACTCAGGGAGAGCACTGCAAGCTGGTGCTGATGGCAAGCGGGTGGACACCAACTGTTCTATTCATCTTGCAATACCTTTTCTCCAGAATTAGTGGCACAATACCCAAGTGCAGCTTTTATTAAGTCACTCCATCATATTTGTGTCCACAGCAACAGCTATACCAGTTTACCCATTCAGAGAACACGCTTCCCACAGAATCAGTTTTTTCCTGACACCGGTTCTGAATTCATGCACAGCTAAAGAGAAAACACATTCTCCTCTATGAAAATGCAGGATGTCCACCTTATTTTCTTGAACCTTTGTTGGAGTAGTTGTGTTGCTCTTGTTTTCTCTTTGCTGTCGACGTCTAGCTGCCTCTTGTTCCTCCTGGAAAGATGTTTTCAAAGAAAACATTAAAAGAATAATCATTTGCTCCTGTGTTTCTCACTTTTTAACACACACCACTGTGTTTCCCAGCTTAGCCTCCCCCAAAAGCCAGGTGTAAGTGCTCTTGGCACACAATGCCCGATTAAAAACACCCCAAACTTCTCTTACCAGCAAGGGAAAAAACTTCCCCTGCCTCGGGCAACACTCAGTGGGAAAGGGAAGAGCAAGTCACCCCTTTGTACTGCATTACCCTCCCTAATGGGTTTCAAACATGCAGCCACAGGGCAGAAGAGATTAAGCCCAAACCTCCTCCTTTATTCTTCTCCTCCCAGTCCCATCCCCCAGATCACACACTGGTGTTAGAGGGTTTGGGTTTGGTTTGGAGGGGGGGGTGCTGGTGTTTTGTTGGCTTGGGGTTTTAATTTATGAAATATTTCAACAGTTTTCCCTACATCCCCAACATTCATGTGTTGTTACATCACTTTAAAAATCTCGCATGACTTGAAATGGCAGAGCCATTAAACATCATCTAATTCAACTTTAGCCACGTCTGTAGAGGAAACTAAAAAAACCCAAGCAGCAACTTTTCAGCTTAATTTTCGGGTTTCAGTAGGGGCAGGATATTTCAAGGAGCTCATTTAAAGCCTTTCCCTACCTTGCAGGGGAGGTTTCACTTGCGTAACAATTCTGGCAATTCCATCACCTCTTCTGCTGAAGAGGAAGAAATGGCACCATTTCTTCACCATTAAAACCAGGGAAGTTCCAAAGCACAGGGATGCCACTCGAGGAGTCATTTTTCCCTCCAACTTTGAATTCAGCAGCCTGAACAAACCTCATCCCAAAGCTCCCATTAACCTGTTTTCAGTAATTCCTGAGCAAGTCAGTTGGAAGACAAACGTTCACCTCAAGTTCTAAATGAAGTGGCTTCCCTTAATTCTCTAACTGGGAACACCAGCCCCATTGCCTAGCTCAGATTAATACAGCCCAGCACAGCCTCAAAAATCCTCTGCCATTTTAATTCCACACTTAACAGCAGAGACTGCAGCAACTGACCACACATTCCATGTCTCAGCGTGCCCCAAAAGTAACATCTCAGAGCACTCTTCAGCTTCGTTTTCATGCAGCTGAACACAGGGACAGATTGAAACTATCATTTCTTTCTTTAACTTCAGTTCTTAAATGAACAAACTGCTCTTTATAGACCTCCACTGCAAGGTAAGAAAACCTGTGGCTGCCCCATTAATTCTCTATTAGAAAGCTCTTGAACATGATTCAATTAGTGCTTGATGGCACGTGATGCTCCACTTCAATCAGCTCCATGCCCATGTTCCTTGCTTACCAAGCAAATCTGATTTGCTATCAATTCTGTACATCTTTAACAAGTGACCAAATTCCCTGTAGTGGCCGCTCTGCTTATTTTGAGTTTTCTACCAAAAAAAAAAAATGACTGAAACTTACCCTGAGTTTTGGATTTTTGAGACTAGAAAAATAGTTTTCAAGCTGGAAACAGAAAGATAAGAGTCATTTTCAAAGTCACGAGAGATGAATACAACATATCAGCATTAAACAAATGCAGAACTGCAGAAATCCTAACTGGCTTTCTTCAGATAAGCTACAGCAAGAAGCCATTGACATTCACTCTTCTGAATGACGCCGACACGCTGGCAGGACATAATCCACGCCTCAACAAGGTTTTAGCATCTTCACCGCTGCCTGTTCTTGTTTTAAAGCTTTGTGTCATGTATCTGCACTCAGCAGAAAGTTATTGTCAATGGAGCTATGTCTTATGCGCCACTAAAATATTCAACTGCACTTTAGGTTATCCTTTTAACAATTATTCTTTAACATTATTAGACTACAGCAAACATAGGAAAAAAATCTTACTATCACACTGCAAAACAGTGTGGGAATAAACTATTTCCCCACAAAAGCTGACATTCCTATAGAGTTGTTTCTGTTTTCTTTAACTGAAAAAAAACAACCCAAACCCCAGTGAACGCATGAGTATTGTTACAGAGCTTTGGCTGGTTCTACATCAACTTGACAGTTTAACTAGAATGAGGATTTACTGCTTGAATATGATCAAACGAAATGCTCCGTACACCACAAAGCCAACTGAGGAATTAAAGACCCAGATAGTCTTTAGTCAGGGTGGAAGCTATAGCACAAGACCACGATTCTGCATAGCTGTGTATTCTGGAGCACGAGACGGAATTATACCTGTAAATCCATGGACCTTCAATGAATTAACAGACTGCCAGAGTACTGTCCATCATTATACTGTTTGCGCAAGATGCTGCACCGAAGCAGCCAAAGGCTACCAATGATGTGTGCTACAGGTCTAAATATGCAAGGAAATATGAATACAATTCCCAGAAACAAGGAACTGAAGTTGGCATGTTGACTTCAAAGCAGGTAAAGCAGCCAGAGCCACCAGCCTGTATTTATACTCACTATGGTTCGGTCAATAGTATGCAGGTAGTAAGAAACTGGTTTCCCGGTCCATGACACAGACCCTTTCAGTGGTGATAGCTCCACAACTCTCATTATAGTGCCAATATCTGCAGGAAGAACATCAAGTTAGGCAAGCAAGGCTCGCTCAGTTTGGCACACAGTTGTACCCAGCTGAAGCTAAGCCATGCACCAGTAAGGAGTGTTTCTTCAGAGACCACCAGCCATTCTAGAGTAAAACTCTTGTTCTAGTGTAAGCTTTCAATAGACAGAACTTCCCTGGGTTTCAGAGGCAACTTTTACGAGGAACCCAGCGACCAGACATCTGTGCTAACAGACAGGATTTAATTAGGTAGAACCGGCAACAGAGCACCATTAGAGCCAACCCATGTAAACTGCAACTGTACTATATTGGGACTGAGGACAAACATGGTTTATATTTGTTTGCTTGCCTATATTTGTTCTGTTCCCTAGAATTAATAGGTATGGGATGTGCCTAAGCATTTCCAGAACCACTGAACACTGAGTGAGAGGCACGGCTGTAGAAGAAGTTATGGCACACTTCTAATTAAACAGCAATTACCCAGAAGAGTCAAAACACAAGGTTTAGGATTCAGCAACTTCCACCACTATTTTAACCAGATTTTAATACTTGCTTTGGTTTGTCCTGGCTCTTTCCACATTTCTATTTCTTTTTCCAGATGGGACTAACTAAGGACAAAAATGGCACTGAGAAAAAAGGTTGCCTGCTTCCTAAAGTTTTCTCTTTTCCACTATATTTTATAATAAATCACAAGACTCAAATCCTACCTGGGCACAAAAGAAACCCCACTGAATAAAAGTATTCTTAAAACCCTACAATAGGGCAGCAGCATAAAGCTGGCACAGGAGGCTGAAATCACCTCTCTGCATGTGAAGGTACTGGATCCACAGCTCCAAGTGGATGACATTCCCTGAAAGTGTCACTTAGAAGAGGCCACTAAGACCAGAACAAGTCTCGGGCCTAGCACATCCCATGCATGATCATTTGATATTGGCACATCCCAAATACAGCACGGTCACAGAATGGGATTAAGACCTAAAATTTATACCAATAATATCCTCTCATTACTTGTAGCATAATTTCTTTTCAGGATCTCTTCTCTGAATCCCTGGAAGAGTTTCCTGTTACTGGAAGCTATTATCTACTCTTCTGCTAAGCAACCTCTTTCACTCAGATCTTCATTAGCTATCTCAATATAATTTTAACATCAACATCCCCATTAAGCATTAAATAACATGTCATATACACAGATACATAAAACTTCAGCATTCTAGAAAACATTCCACAGGGGGTTGAAAGCTCAAACAGGATAAAGAAGTGGCTCAACTGATCGTCATAATCAGGGCTTTTATTCAGTGCCCCCTTTGCCTCCCCACCTAGCAGAAAGACACAGCAAAATGGTCATGAGCCAGGGAAGAAAGGGCTTGGGAGGCCAAAACCCCTTATTTACATAGGCAGGTCTCCTAAATGAAACCTCAGAAGTGCCTTCTTGCATTTCATCTAGTTCTAGTGTGCTGTACAAGAGGTAGAAAGCTTTACTTAAGCGCTCTTTGTCTTGTTAGCAAACTGACAGGCTGATCTCAGCTCCCTGGAGGCTTGAGGGTTTCCAGGATTACCATTCCACCCTTTAAAGTCGTTTTATTTTCAAGCCCATGTCTACAAAGGATTGCCAAGCCAGGACCCAACGGTTAATGAGGTTCCAAACAATCAAATGCCACAGAGAAGAGTATCAAACAGGAAGGAAATGGGCAGGTTTGCATGTCTGCTGCACAGGACATTCACAGTTACTCAAGCTTCATAAAAATAACTCACAATGGGGCTACTTCAGTGAAATGCCTTAATGACAGTCTTCAAATTACTGTTCTTGAAAAGCAGCTTGCCATGAGTGTCAGGCCAAGCACAGAAAACACAGCTTGAGATTTGTACCTCAGTGTGTTACCTGCCATGTTTGCATAAGGAGGGGAGTAGGGCTGGTTTTGAATTTAGGGAATGTTTTGCACTGGACACAGTAAATGTGTAAACCCCAGCCTGGATCCTTCTTTTCCTTGGCAAAATTCAACAATAAAAGCTGAAAAAAGGTCACAAGAAAAAGCACCATCACAGGGTGTTGGTAATCCCCAAACCTCATTGAACTGCAGCTCCCAGGCTTGCGAAGGACAACGTTGGCACGTATCGAGTCTACTAGATTCAGAAGGGAAGGAAAACTCTTGTTGGCAACAAACCAGACACAGCAACTGGGCGTTTATGGGCTAGGCCTGATGGATTTACAGCACAGAAGACAAGGCATTCAACGTTGAACATTTCAGCTTCTAAGCCTCACAAATCATGACTGGTGGGATTTACCTGTCCAAATTCAGACAGCTACTGTATAAGGAACTCACATGCAAGTTCATCACTGCAGCTCTTCGTACTTAAAGACATTAACCACGCTCCTGAAAATCCTGATTTCAACACTTAATTTCAACCTCTTCAACTGTAAAAGATGCCCAGCCAGGGAAAAACTGTCATTACACCTAAAGGAGGAACCCCACAGAAGAGTGGTGGTTGGTTCCAATGTTGGGGGGGGTGTGATTTTAAAATACATGTCACTTTGGCATGTGTGCTATCATAATACAACAGCATTTTTCTACTTACACAACTCTTTAAACCACAACCCAACCCCACTACAGACATGTTCAGATAACGAATACACCATAACTGCAATGTAACAACAAAAGGGGCAATCATACCACTCAAGTTTCGACTGTTAATTCTAAAATTCAGAGGTGCAAAAGGTTTTGAGGACACAATTCTTCCACCTGGAAAAGAGGAGGAAAACCAAAAAGAGAGCAAAGTCAGCTACTAGTTCTTCTAGAAATAACTACTTACTAAATCTAGCCCAGCACAGAGCCCTGAAGAGCAGCCCTAATCAAACTACCACTTGTATGTCATCACCAAAAGAAAACTCCTTAATGCTCATTCTGATAGCATGCAACAAAGTCAATCTCTTCATCCTGCTGGGTAGCTGGGAGGGGATCCTCAAGGATCACTACAAAATGACATTTTCAAACACTTCCAAAAAAAGAGCCCGTTAATTCTCAGTGGCAATCGATGGAAATTTCAATCAGGAACACCACCATCCCAGTCCTAGTTGGTGTCTTTCATGCACAAGTCCCCAAAGCCCTCTTATTTAAAAGGCTGCTCCTCTCCATTCCACAGCTATCTGGGGTCATCCAGCCCAGAGCACAGAGCCCCAGCACCTTCTGGGAAGAGAACTGAGCTTTCTTTACTGGGTTAAAAAGGCTGCCCCACCTTGCCACTTCTCTCCAGCCACCACTAAACAGCAGCTAAAACGAAACAAAGATCACCCACTAAAACTAAAGAAGACAGCTTAAGTTAAGGGGTTTTACAGTTTGCAACAGAGCCCAAAAGTCACATTCTTCACTATCAGGGGAAGCCACAGCTGCTTTGTTCATGCCACACAGTTTTCTTCTCAGAAATAGTAATTTTTGTTATTTCTGCCATAACCAAATTGTTACTTATCCAAGTGGTTAAGAGGAAGGAAAAAAAGACACCTCAGGCAGTCTAAGGGTCACAGTGGGGTTACTGGGCATCCCGGGTCACTAGTGTCTGCAATGAGACACACAAGACATCCAGTGATGGTGCTCCCATTTTAATACTGATTAGTGAATACCCAGTACTCCGTGTGACAACTTTAAATAGGATAACCCAAGAACTGCCTTCAGTATGCAGCTACAGAAATATTATATTGTACTAGACACAGAAAGCCACCTGTATCCTGGGCTGCATCAAAAGGAGTGCGAGCAGCAGGTCAAAGGAGGTGATCCTGCCCCTCTGCTCTGCTCTCCTGAGACCCCACTTGCAGCACTGGGTGCAGTGCTGGTGCCCTCAAACATAAGCACTTGGAGCTGTTGGAGAAGTCCAGAGGAGGCCATGAGGATGCTCAGGGGCTGGAGCAGCTCCTGCATGGAGCCAGGCTGAGAACATTGGGGCTGTTCAGCCTGGAGAAAAGAAGCTGCATGGAGACCTCAGAGCAGCTTCCAGTGTCTGAAGGGGGCTGCAAGGATGCTGGAGAGGGGCTCTTCATTAGGGACTGTGGTGATAGGACAAGGGCTTTGCAGTCTCGGCCACTGCATGTTTTGTCGGCTCCCGTACCAAGTAAGAGAGGACCAGCAGTTCCTCCCACCCCACAGAGCTCTGCAGAGCCTTCACACACAGAGCTACCTCCAAGCAGTCAGGGAGGCCAGAACAGATATTAAAATGGGAAGTAAACAGCCCAAGAAATACCCATCTGGGGTGCAGATGCTTGCTGCAAGGCACAGAACAATACCCACCAACCTGGCTTCTTTAACTAAGGCCTCGCCACCACCAGCTCCCATAGCAAGCAGGAAAGCAATGGGAAAAGGTTTGAAGTTCTTTGTTACCTTCCTTCATGTTTGCAAATCGCTCCTTCAGTTGGTGATCCACCTCAGGACCAAAGGCAAAATTATTCACAAAAATAACACTGCAAGATAATGGTACAGTTAAGGAAGAGGGACAGGCAAATGGCACAACTATACCCCTCAGCTGCCCCCACAACCACAGGTCACAGTCACTTACAGCCTTTACAGCCTCTTCTGGAACTGAAAAGTGCTGCTTGTCCCTGTATACAGCCACTTCCAGCTAATAAAATGCTTTCTTCTTGCATATAGTACCTTACCTTTAGCATTCACTTGTAAAAGATGTTAAAGGCACCCTGCTCTGTGCTCCTCTCAGCACACAGCTGAGTTTTGCACCAGAAGTTTCAGCATAAAACCAATGTGCAAAATGTTTTCACCCCTCTGTCATGGTGAGATCAAACACCACACTCTTACAGTAGTTAATTCACACATGAAAAGCAATGCTCCAACACAACAGACACGTTTCATGCCAGTGCCTCCTCGCGTGCATTTAAACTATTATAGCACAATATCAAAATGTATTTTCTCTTCCAGCTGTAAATTTACCCCTCAGTGCAAAAAGACGCCTCTCAGCACATCTCCCTGTCCTAAACCCAGCACTTCACCCCAACCCACAGTGCACAGTTGCACCTTTCTGGGTTAGGAAATGGAGCGAAGGGGATTTGTTCCTGAAAAAACCCAGTCAGACAGCAACAAAGAAACGTGCCCATAGGCAGAATCACACAAATGGTGAAATGGTTGGTGAAGAAACAGAGCACACCACAGATTAAAAAAGAAATATCCTTTTATTTTTAAGAGCCTGGGTCCAGTCCAATTGTCCCTGGTGCCCATTTCCTACCATAGAATCATAGAATGGTTTGGGTTGGAAAAGACCTTCAGATCATCCAATTCCAACGCCCCCTGCCATGGGCAAGGATGCCTCACCCTAGACTATGTCACCCAAGGCTGTGTCCAACCTGGCCTTGAACACTGCCAGGGATGGAGCATTTACCACTTCTCTGGGCACCCTGTGCCAGCGCCTCAGCACCCTTACAGGGAAGAGCTTCTTCCTTATATCTAACCTGAACTTCCCCTGTTTAAGTTTGAACCCATCACCCCTTGCCCTATCGCTCCCAGCTTGCAACAAGAGCCCTCAACATCTCTTGGAAGCCGTGGAGCATCCTGCACATGCAAAGTGCCAAAGCCATTCTAGCATATTGTTCCAAAATGAAGAAGTAACTTCTTTGCAAGAGGTCTGTCTGAAAACTCCCCTCCTAGCGCCTCCACACATGAAACATGTTCAACAAGGACAGTGAGTTTAAGAGTGGCAGCCAAAGCTATTAAAACCCATGGATGAAAAACTGTCTCTACATTAAGGGGAAAAAAGAAAATGTTATTCTTGCTCTGCCTTGCTCTTGGAAATTTGGGAAACCCTGCCTGGCAAGTAAGGCTAGCAGGGGTTTCTTCCTCCGCCTTCCCACCCTGTGCCAAAAAATGAGGCCTTGCAAAAGAGCCAAGCATATTAATGGGACTAGAAAACATCCAGGGAAGGAAGGGAAAAAGATAAAGCTTGCCAGATCCATTTCTTTAGTGTTAATTTTGGCACAACACTTGTATGCACAGGGCAGAAGTACGGGGGACCCCCGTCCACCTCGCCTTCAGCCCCCGTTTCTGCACGTATTGCTAAGCCACAGGGCCAGTTCCTGCAGGAATCCTGCGTGCTGCACAGCTCCCACGGCAGCGCTCAAGCACGTACAGCCCTGTCCTGGTACAATCCCAGCCTGTGCTTCGAGCCTGGCCGCTCACGGGAAGGGTGGCTCTTGGCTTACTGAGACTGAGATGAGCTCTGAGGCAGAAGCTCTTCCCTGGGAGGGTGCTGAGGCGCTGGCACAGGGTGCCCAGAGAAGCTGTGGCTGCCCCATCCCTGGCAGTGTTCGAGGCCAGGTTGGACACAGGGGCTTGGAGCAAGCTGCTCCAGTGGAAGGGGTCCCTGCCTGTGGCAGGGGGCTGGGACTGGATCAGTCCCTTCCAACCCAAACCAGTCTGTGGGTCTGCGATGGGGTGGCTCCAACGGGAACTCATCAGACAATCTGCATCTCTCTAGATGGAGCTGATGCTGAGCAGTTGGCCCACTCGGAACAAACACCAACACCTACCAGTTGTGAGCAACAATCTCCTCCTTTTTGAACTTCTACATCACAGAGCAAAGGGAGTGTGGATCAGCAGGCACACCGTTAGCTGCACGCCATACAAAATAAACATCTACCAGCATTTCTGCATGCAGTTAGATGTACTCCAGCTAAAAATAAATAAACCAAATTCCATTTGCTCCAAGGAAAGCTGCGCAGACAGCCGAGGAGCGTGGATTTGGAATCACAAGCAACAAAGCAAAACCCCGCTATGCAAAGCTGGGCCAAGCCTGTCCACAAATTAAAAGGCACCTCTAGAAGTTTAACTGAGGTAGGGAGCAATGCAGGAGTCATCAGCCGGGCAGACGCCTGTGTGATGGGGTACTCTTAAAAGAGGGTGTTGGAAGCAGTCCATAGATTGCCACAATGCCGAGGACTTCCAGAGAGCCCTCTTGGACAAGTCTTCATTCCCCCACACAACAGGGTGGCCCAGAAGGTCATACAAAGACCTTTTTTGTTCCATCCATAAGGCTGGAAATGCAAAGCCTTTAAAGAGGCAGAGTACGTTACTGCTTTAGCCAATTTACTCCCTTGCTACTACCATCAAAAAGGAGTCAAATCCTCTGTACAGATCCTCACAGAAACAAATCTTCAACACAATCGGCTCAAATGAATTCCCAATTTAAGTTAGAACACACTCACTTGGGTCTTTTTAATGGCAAGTGAGCCTCGCAGTATGCACCAATAGCCAAAATAACCAGCGTTTTGCCAGAATCACTGACTTGAACAACAAGGATATGCAAAACAAACAAGAGGCTGATACTTCTCTGCAGAACCAGAATTTATCTTGGATACACCCTTGTATGTATTATCATGGGACAGACATTTAAACCCATTCTTCTAGTCAGAAAACAGGATCTAAAGAGGCCAGTATAAAACTTGGCAGATACACTTCTGGTATTTGCTATGGAAATTCTATATAAAAAGCTGGCCAGCCTCCCAATTTCCATTATACAAACTCCCAGATATTCAGTTCATAAAGCAGCATTCAACTGCTGCACTGTACCTTGTGTTTGCAATTCTCTCTCTCCATTCTTCTGAGAGGAAGTCACCTCTTTCCAGCTGAAAGAAAGACAACACAAAAACACACACACACACAGACGAGTTAACATCGTTCCTTTCTGCTCTGGAGCAAACATGTTGTACTAACTCAGGGGTGCCTCTGAAGTAAGGCCAAATGAAGGCTTTAGGAGATACCAAGGAGATGAAGCACCCAGAGCTCCTCAGGTCCTGGAGGTGGCCTCCCCTTCTGCTCCCACCCTCATCTGCTCTCCTGCCATGGGATGAACAGGGAAGGGTCTCCAGGTATCACTGATGCCCTACAAGGACTGTGCTCCATGGAGAAGCCAGCAATACCCTGCAGCACCCGCAGCAGAAACCAGAGCCCCCTCAAGACCCTGCTGAGCCCTGTGGTTCCATCAGACCCCTCAGAGTGGGAACCAGAGCACAGAGCCATGGTGCCTGCTGCAAACCCTGCCTCGTAATTCAGGCTCTTGTTGCAACAGATGGCAACCTCTGATCTTCCTGTGGTACTAAATCTAAATCTCACATGTTTCTAACACTTTGATGCTGGAAATCAAGTGACGTAAAGGCCTTATTTGAAAGTAATTCTAGTTATGACTTCAGTACCTTTCTGATGAAACCCCATCAAGTGCCAGGTTAATACCTGCAGCTCCATAGCCTTCCCACCATTAAGTCATGCTTTTGAAATGCCAGAGGAATCTATGGGCTGTTTTGCTGTGCCCCAAGTAAGGCAGGAGAAAGGTTGCGGGAGGAAGATAAGAGGAGGAGAGAAAAAACAACATGCAACTGTATAATTAATGACGATGACACACTTTGAAGGCGCAGGTAAGATGATGGCTTAGATCAGAACCTCAGGAACATCAAAACAACACAAAGTGACTGCTCTAGAATCCCTTTTCTGCATATATTCTTTAGTATGGAAAGAAAGGAGCATTTCACATGCCAGCACTTAGCGACAACTCAAACAGAAGTGCAATGCAGACATGCTCCAATACTTCGAAACCCTGCTAGCTGAGCCAGGGTACCTGTCCCAGAGAAGCACTAGAGCCTGCTTCCTTCCATTGTAGCCTCCCCTTCCCAGCAGAGCAGTCTGATGCTCTAGTGGAAGGTGTCCCTGCCTGTAGCAGGGGGTTGGAACTGGATGAGTTTTAAGGTCCCTACCAGCCCAAACCATTCCATGATTTTATGATTAAGGAAAGTATCGAGGGTTCTCAGGCAAGAGATCAAGAACTTTGCAAAGAGCCTTAAGGGTCAGACACTAAACATGCTGAAAACAGCAGGTCAGAACAACTGAAGTTACTCAGTTCTGCCAAGCAGGTAGGCTGACATAAGATTTTCAACCAGAATTACTACCTGCATTTCCCACCTGCTGCTAGGGGATGCATGCTTTGATATCCCTGCTACAGTAAAACCAAAGCATACATTGGAGACTGCACTCACAGAGATCCAACCTAACAACGTCCTGCTAGATACTTCCAAACTCTAAAGGGGAAACTCAATGCAACATCAGAACAGTTCTAAAGAAGACTGAGTTCTTCTCACCTTATATATAGAAACATTTATTCTGGAGCTCTAGATGCCCTATTTGTGAATGGAGACCATCTCTAGACTATTTATGAGATAACTTTGTCTCAAAGTCTTATCTCTCTGGTAGTGAATAGCTTCATGGTTGAGCAACCAAGAGACAGTAGAAGAAAACCCACATGTAAGGCAACTGTATTTATTTTACAACCATTTTTGCCAAGTCAGCTGCTCTGTTGCACTCCTCCCCACCACTGGTGTCTAACGTCTGCACGAGGTTTCCAAACGCCAACAGGAGAAAGAAAAGAAATGGCACAATAATAAGGAAATGTGATTATAAAGCCACAGCTCAGCAAGAGAACAAAGAACCAGCGGAACCTGAAACTGCTTGGAAATAAAAAGCTTCATATAAAGGTCTTGAAATCTAACCTAAATGGCTGTTACGCTTTATTTGGATCCAGTCACACTCTATGTTTGTCCTGCCAATGTGGTTAAGAGCACGGTTATAACCAAAATCTCTGGGTTTTAACCCAATATAACACATGGAAACTGAACACTTTTTCCTCTGTCTCCTTTTGCAAGATACAGCATTTTACAATTTAAATGCAGCACAGCCCTGTTTCAACCCATCTATTTTTGTATTGGAACACTACCCTAGCTCATACTTAGCCAAGAGTTGAGGGGAAAATCTCACCAGGAAAAATACTGGTGTACAGAAATAACCAGATGGTCAACTATGGTTGGGAGAAAATTGGTTATTTTCTCCCCTCTGGAAGGAAGACAGCAATTCCTGGATCAGTGCTCTGCCACAATCAAACCAGAGCACAGCAGCTACCTGATTGACTCCTCCTGATGACCAGTTTCTTCACTTACTGTACTTGGGGAGCAGTGATTAATAAATGATGGAGTAACAGGAGGAAAATAGGACCTTCCCCATCAACTGACAATGGGAATCCAACAAAACTCCCCCCAAATCCCAGTCAACTCTGTGCTTTACAGTCATTATGAGAGCAAAACAAAAACTGGTAAGGAACCGCCAAGGGCTGCAACAGCTAAACCAGTAGAAGAACACGGTCCCTTATGGTCATGGATGGAGAAGGTGGCACGCCAGTGCAAAGCAGAGGTGACAGCCACAGGGACACCCTCAATCTCTTCCCACCAGTGTCCCAACCCCCATCCTGTTGCTCCTCTTGCTGCGAAACTTAATCTCCTTAGTGAATAATGAATGGAAGGGACCATCTGTAATGCAGATATTTTCATCTGATTAGACAATGCAGGAGTCGTGCTTTATCTAAAAGGATAATTAGCTCAGCGCAATCCGCTTCACAGAGCTGCCAGCCCGCATTAGTTCTAAAGTTAGAAACCAAAACAGGTTTCTCTTCAGGTTTTTCTAACAGATAAATGTGCTCTACAGAGACTGCAGAAATAGGCACAGCAGCATCTGTGGCTCTTCCTGTAACTCGAAGAAAACTGGCAGGCCAGAGCCTGGGGGAAGCAACAAGAGGTTCGCTCCAGCGCGTGTGCGTTCAGCACGTACCAGAGCGACAGTTCCTGAAGGTCAAGCCTTGGTGGCATGGAGTAGAGCTCCACTCCCAACCCAGCACTGCCCTGGGATCTCTCTGGTAACGGCTCTGTTTGACCAGCTACACAAAGCCATAAATTCACACGCAGAAATGTCTCATTCCAGCAGCCTCCATGCAAACACTTGGCTCACAAAACCCACTCATTTCTGCCTGGAAAAGTACACAGGGTTATTTTTAGGTTCCTGTTCTTTTCAAAAATAACTGGAGGCACGAATCCAAACCTCCAAAATGTGGCATCATTTCAAAGCCACAGGGGACATTTGGAGGGCTTTTCAAATACCAAAACATGGACTTTCCCGCTGAAATAGGGCATTCAGAACTATCTGGGACAAACAGCTCTCCTGCCCTTTCCTTAGCTGCAGTGCACTGCTGAGCAGTGGTAGTTTTTAAGTACAGGTAATGCCAGTAATCCCTACAAAGCAGCAGCTGGCACCAGGCAACAAGAGACAACTTGTACCCAAATCACTGCTTTTGCTCAGAATGGAGGTTTCCAGGACAACAAGCCAGACAGAGCACCCCAAACTCAGTCAGAGACAAGGCTGCAAGCTTACAGATGCCAGGCTTATGTTGACTGATGCACAACAAAACCCACCTCTAATCCATGGGCTGACCCACAGAGTATCTGCAGCTATTAGGAGCTGCAGGGGTTTCCTCTGAGCAGGCAGCACACGTGTCAGAGGTGTCCAGCCAGCAGGAATCCCAGCCTTTAAAAACGCTGACCTGGTGTTTCCTGCACTTCTTTTGAAGACCCACTGCTCAGACAAGCTTTTATGGAACAGGGGAAGGTCTTCTGTTATAACCTGAGCAAGCAACATCAAAGCAAACCCTTACCATCAGCAGGCCAACGTGTGACTGCAGCCACCACCAACTTCCCTTGCAGAGACCTACTCTAACCTACAACTGGAAGAATCCCGTAACAGGCCATAGGCACTGAGGACACACAGCTTGCACCAGGGGTACCCCTGAAAGAACACTGCAGCACTTTCTGCTCCATGGCAATTAGCACTGTGCCCTAGATACCTGGAGACGGCTCTGATTTTGAGGCCACATGAGGATATGTACAGTCAGAAACCATGAAAACCCATCTGCCTCTTGTGATACCGCTTTATAATTGGATGACTACACATGTGCAGAAATTCCCCGAGAAAGCCTCTCTAATTATCTAGGCCTAATAACCTCTGAGAAGTCTCCTGTTTCCTTCAAACAACAGTTTTCTTGAAAAGAAGGGGGTAAAGCTAATCTTGGAAACTTCTCAGTTCCATGGGAAAAGAAACAAGATGGTCAACGGAGCTGAAATAAAGTGATGCGTGCTGGAAGTGGGACATTCCAGTCCGAACAGCTGAAGCAGTTGATGATGGAAAAAGCCCTGAAATACTTCATTCTATCTGAATGCAGAAGACTAGCAAGGAATATGATTATCCCTAACCCATCAGGAATTAGACATCAACAACCACACGACCATAGCACAGGGATGTAAATATTTCCACGTCGAAACATTAGCATTGACTGTAAAACCTGAGGAAGATTCTTATCAGAGAGCATTACTCTCTTGGTTTAGTTTGGGGGGTTTTCCAATTAGAATCCTGAGGCTCAACAGCTCATCATTTAAAATGAAACCCAGTTCATTTAACAGGATTATGAGATACAGTTATCTCCAGTAGCCGGAGGTCAGGAGACTTACAGGCCAACGTACGATGAGCAACCTGCCTCCCACTCCTGTCATGCCCCAAATGGATCTTCTCACTCCAAAGCTGCCATGACGACCCATTACCAGCAGCAGGGGCTCTGCAGAAGCCTCAGGGATCCAACATGCCTCAGGACAGTGCTAGAAGCTGCTGGAGAAGTTTTACCCACAGTTATCATCTGAAAGTGACTCTCAGTGATGAGCTGTTTTACTGAAGGTATCTGCGTGCACGTGACAGTGTATATTTTGCATGGAACCACGTCCCAAAAGAGACTTTTCTTCTATGACTGTGGACAAAGGAGAGTGGAAAGACACCTGGAGGGTTTATTTTAAATGCTGTCACTGAGCCTTGCTCATCAGAATTCACATGTCCACGTTCAGAACTTCCAGCACATGCTGGTGGGGAAGGCAAGGAGGTGATTCTGATGGTTGCAGAGCTGGTATGGGCAATCAACTGCTGCCTCACCAGAAAGACAAGACTTTGGACAAGCCCTTTCTGCGAGAAGTCAAAAATCCATTTGTATTGGAAAGCTGTAGAAGGCTCTTGGCTGTTACAAGAAACAACAACCCAAAGCAGGATTTGCTGCTGCCTGACGTACCACAACCTTTCCAGCAAGGCAGTGGAAGTCAAAACCATCATCTGCGTTATTCAGTCCAAGCTGCAGGTGGGTTCTAAGACTCCTTGCCTCAGGACTTAGGCCAAGCTTCCCTCCTCCAACATAGGTTGCCCAAAGAAATGACAAATGCCCCATCCCTGGCAGTGTTCAAGGCCAGGTTGGACACAGGGGCTTGGAGCAAGCTGCTCCAGTGGAAGGGGTCCCTGCCCATGGCAGGGGGTTGGAACTGGATGATCTTAAGGTCCTTTCCAACCCAAACCATGCTATGATTCTATGACTGCCTGAAACATTAGAGTGGAATTCACAAGTTCAGCTCTTCTGGTGACAGACTATTCCAATTTGTGCTTATTTAGTCTACAACATTGGGAATTTTGGGACTCCACTAAGCATAATGAAGGAACAAAGTTGTTTTCCAGAAAGATAAAGACACCGAGTTTTCAGTTTCATGCCTTCCAATGTCTCCTAGCTGCATTATGTTTGCTCTCTGTTTAACCAGAGTCACGTATAGAAAATGTTGTCTAAAGAGTTACTGAAGAAAATAAACTGCTTGGCAAAAGCCTTGGGTGTTTGAAGAAGCAATAAAAACTAAGGAAAATCTGCCCTGTGCGTCTACATGTAAGCAACCAAAACCTATTTCAAGCATCACTACAACATGGTGCTGGAAACAACTTTCCTTACGACATGCAGTGCTCCAAAGGTTCAACTCTTCCCAGAAAGGCAGAAAAGAGAGCTTTTACTCTAAACCCTTTTCAGAAAACAGAATTATAAAAGCCAAAGAACCTAGCAAAAAATAAATAGCTTTGTTTCACTGTAGTACCAGACTCTGTCACTTGGAATGCGCAATATGGAAATGCCTACGGCAATCAATATGCTTTCAATATTTTAGTCCAAGTTCCTATCCTACTCTTTAAATTACACAGCTCATAAGCTGAGTATCTTCAGGAATAATTCCTTTCATGTAATGCCAGCTGGGTGACACAATGGAAAAATGCCATATGGCCACTTCATGAAAAGTAAAGCGTTCACAGTGTTTCCACAGCAGGAAAGAGTTAGCAGCCCAATATCAATCCTGCTACAAACTAGTCCCGCAGCAGGCCCAGCATCCCTCTGAAGAGGATCACGCTCTCCAATAAAGGCATTCCAGGAAGAAAGTGCAAAGAGGCAGGTGGCACCATCCCCTTCTGCAGCCTGCTTCCTGAAGGGAGAGTCGTAGCAACCTTCCTCACAAGATAAGCCCTGTAAAGAGCACCAGGGATCCCAGAAGACCCAGAAAACTGGGAAATAAAGGCTGGCCATTTGATCCCACACTGCTGGAACGCCATGTGGTTCAAACCATCCCAGTAACAGAGCAGCAATGGCTCTGTACAAGAGGAAAATGAAGCAGCAGCTCCCCAAGCACTTGCTCGCACTTGAACTGCAATCCTCACTGCTAGCTGCAACTCCGAGCAGGAAAGTGACCCAACTTCTCTGGGCAGTTAGGGAACAATCCTGATCCATCCAGCCTCTTCTGGACCACCAGGAAGTGGGTTCCTATTGTACTATGCCTACGTACATTTCCTCACTGGGAAATGATTAACTGGGGAGCAGGTTTTCTTAGCGACTTTTAAGAAGGGGGAGAAAAGGAAAAGGGGAAGGAATGACACAAAGCTCTGCACATGCTTCACACTGTCATTACAGCGTAGAAAACACATCCACAATGATTAAGTAACATTCGGAGGAAAGGGAAAGCCATTTCAGCATGTGTCCCCAGCCCCAAGGGGAGAGATGCCCTATGATGACCCATTTACCCCTCCCCTGCTCTAACTCCACCTTCAGAGCACCCAATTGCAATCCTTTCCAGGTCAGAACCAACCATCCATCATCCTTCCTGAGCCCACAGCCCACCCCTACCCCCCAGTGCAAACCATCTATCTTGAATTGGTCCTGGAGCTCTCTGCTTTAATCTCAGCATGCTGGGATTCATCCAGAACTCAACCCCATGCTCCCCGAGGCTGAAACCACCGCCCTCCCATCCCCTCCAACACCAGGTGACCACATCTTCCCCTTTTGTTTCTAGCAGGAGATTTCAGAAACCCAAGGAGGAGCTGCCACTTTCAACAGTCTGCCCAGCAGCACCCCCACACCATGGGGAGAGCAGGGAGGGGAAGCCAAAGGCTATTTAATACAAACCAAAGACACATGGCAGCCCCCCTTAAAACGATAACATTTTAGAAGAATAAATCTTCCAAGAGCTTCTGAGAAGACCTGAATGTGTTCCCAATAACACCATACCACATGTCAGGCGAGACAAAGAGAGGGGCCTGGGAGGGTGTCTTGCAGAACACCAGCCTGGGGGTCAAGATAAAAGCCAGGAAGCACATCTGACTCATTCTGGCTGGTGAAAGGCTGAAGAGGGCTTTGCAAGTTCTATACATCAGCATGGATCACAAGGTTTTTCAGCTGAATTTCACTCACTGTGTATTCTGCGTGTTTCTTCCCATACCATTTCATCCACTTTCTGAACTCTCTGTCCATCGTCTAGAAGAGGAAGGAAAAACAAAACCACCTCTTAGGACATCTTGTGTTACCACTCACATCACAGTCAAAGGAGATGCAACTCTGACAGTGTTCACAAACCCCCAAGACTTGCAGTTTTGTTGGGTTGGGGTTTTTTTTACCATTAACACTCAAAAGATAGGCAGACACAACTACTGTAGTTTATTTTCCTTAAAACCTTTGGTTCATCAGGGCCAAGTCAAAGCTGGCATCTTCTCTTCCCTCTTTTCATCAAAGTTACATGTTAAAAATAAGGCAAACTGAGTTGACACTGCTCAGCACTAAAAGTGGCACAATCTTAAGTAGCTCCCATGTTGTGGTACATAATCCACAGTGAGTAGGAGGCACTGAATGCAGCCCAGCCTAAGCCCAGACAGCAAAGGAACAAACAGGGTAAGGACAGGCCTGCTGGGGTGAATGAGAAAGCAGAAAGTGGCATGCAAAGCATTGCAACAGCAAACAGAAGCAGCATCACCCTTGCTGGAGCAACCAGGAAGAATGCTTCAAACTACAAGCAGCTTCCAGTACCTAAAGGGGCTCCAGGAAACCTGGAGAGGGGCTTTGGACAAGGGCCTGTAGGGACAGGCCAAGGGGAATGGCTTGAACCTGCCAGAGGGGAGACTGAGATGAGCTCTTAGGCAGAAGCTCTTCCCTGGGAGGGTGCTGAGGCGCTGGCACAGGGTGCCCAGAGAAGCTGTGGCTGCCCCATCCCTGGCAGTGTTCAAGGCCAGGTTGGACACAGGGGCTTGGAGCAAGCTGCTCCAGTGGAAGGGGTCCCTGCCCGTGGCAGGGGTTGGAGCTGGAGGAGCTTTAAGGGCCTTCCAACCCAAACCAGTCTGGGATTGTCTGTGAAACTACATCTAGACAGAGTCGGGCTGCAGAAGATGGAAGGCTGCTACTACCCAGCCAAGTAGCTGGCACCAGTCTTCCATTGCCCAAATACAGAAGGAACCTAAAAACCCAGACATCGAGACAGCTTGATGCCTTACAAATGTGCATCTTCCCATTTACAAAATCTTGTCCCATTCTCTATACAGTGACAATATGCAGTCTTTGCTTTAGAGTGGCAGTGAGGGTCCAGCTACACCTATACAACACATTTGACAATGAAACTCAAGTGTCTTGGAAGACTGAAAAACCTCTGGATCTTCAGGATTTGACTCTACATATGGGAGGGCCCAGATCTGGAGGTAGCAGGGAAAGGGGATAAGGGAGAGAAGCACAGCAGGAATTCTGGCTTTACATCTTGGAGATGGTGGAGACCTCCATCAGCAGGTCAAGTAAACCAGTGCTGACAGCTACGTTTTTAGGATTCTTTATGTTTCAAAAGCACTCCAAAGCTTAGCAAGATAAATCAGAGAAATCTTCCAATTTTTCTCATATTTCCTATGAGCTTACATTTTACTGGGTTATTTAAGACAACTTCACTAAAACAAATCCATCACACACTTTCTCTGTAGCTGAAGCTTTTCAAAGTCATCTGCATTCATTAGCATTGTAACCAGAGATGTGCGGCCACAGCCAATCTCAACTAGAAACTTAATCCAATCCCCTCCACAAACGGTTGTGAGAGGTGGGGAGGAAAACTGGTGCGTGACACACAGCACAAGGCAGAGGAGCTGAGCACAGGCAGCTTCACGCGTTCTGACACAGCAGCAGCTGTGTCGCTGGTAAATCTGACAGGACAGTGTCTATAACCAGAATAATGCAGAGTATTTTATGCATCCCATAATCTTATGAAATCCTGCTGTACTTCTGAGGCTGAAGGTACTCCAGGAGTTAATACTCTTAACACTCAGTTTGCGGGCAGATTTTTGTTTGCTACCCATTTTCACTTAAAGCCCTTTTTGCACAATGACATAAAGGGGTATTTGTGCAAGTGAGGATTTAGCTTTCCCTCTTTAACACTAATCTTCACATTTGCTATTAAACACAGACAGGAGTCCAGGCTTTGCAAGTGACTCCCTAATGACACCAGAACGCTCAGCAGTGCTCCAGTTGGAAATTTCCACTGGGTCATTGCAGGGCAAACAAAATGGAGTTTTAGATCCTTGTCTGATCCTCTTTGCCACTGTGCAACTGTATTTTTGCCTACACTACTGAAAAAGAGGATCAAGGATTTACTTCTTTTCCCCTCCCTTCAGAAGGTATAATTTTCTAGCCTGTACAGACTGAGTCAGCTTGTTTTAACAATACAGAGGCATATGGCACTGCTCAGTCTACTGAAGAAAGTAAACTTCTTATGGTAAGGCATGACTAACCTTTATTGTTTGCCTGCAGCTCATTTGTCTTCCAGGTTTGCCTTGGAACTGATTATCTTTGCGTCTCCCCATTGGCACAGAATTAGAAGAAGTGTGAAGAAAACTGCCTGTCTGACTAAACATTATGGTTTTCTTACAGTAAGACTTCATTTTGGGGCCTACTGAGCAGTTATTAACCAGGTATCCCATAACCAGAGGTCTCATCAACTGCCTGCAACAGTTTAATAACTAAGCTGAACTTCAGCCTTAGGACACCAAAAAGGGGCACCACTATCGAAAGCGGAAACTTAAAACGTTTAAGTCTATTTGTTGGGTGAATTCATTCCTAGATTTGCTTAACGCCATGGTCTCTGGAAGCCCTGTATTAGAGTCACTTCAGACACAAAATGAGTGCAGGTTTACATGAAGCTTATACCGCACTTCCTTTTGAACAGCTCCTGGATCCAAGAAGCAAAATAAACCAGGAATGAAACTCAGCTTTTCTTCCTGCACAGCACCTAATAGTAATCCAGAACCACTGAGTGAACCTTCAAATAAGACATATACACACAACCCACTTCAAAACCAACCTCACCTCAGCATATTTGGCTGGAATATCAGCTTTCTCCACACCATAGTGATGTTTGCAGTTGGTGGCTGCAGCCACTTGAAGCACCACCTGACCCACACCTGCAGGAAAAAACCACATCAGAGAACAAGTTTCAGTAGAAAACCACTGCAAGGGGAGGAAAAGCTTTTACTGGGAAAGGCAACAGGAAAAAAAGAACAGGATATGTGTGGGACTGGACTTGAGGGTGCAATTTCAAGTCCCACTTGTGTCTGACAGTTTCCATGTGAACTGAACTCTCAAGTGAAAAGCACATTCAAGGCAGCGTCCATTATAAAAGCCAGTCCCATTTCCCTCCAAGATGTGAAATACTAAGAAGCTGGTTTTCAGGAAAAAGGCTTTAAATTCTAACTAGAAAGCAAACAGAGCAATTACACTGCTCTTACAGAAAGGAATTCCTAGCATCGTAGCTCTGAGGTTTACATTTTTCAATATATTGAGTACTTCTTATGATAACAGCATCAGGCTACAGCATTCACAGCAATGTCTGCCTTGATAATTGTGAATGACTATGTTTAGTAACTATTAGAGGCTCAGTTTTACAAATTCACACAGGTTTTGCCCACAAATTTGATATGCATTTTACCAAATCTTCAGGTTTTACACTGTAACTCACCCTTTAACTAAGTAATTGAACAAGCAGTTGGATAAGCACAAAGCACACACTAAAGCAATGTCACTCCACATCTGTTAAAGCAGCCACTTCACATTTTCTTTCTTAAACCACCCAGTATCCATCAACAGTAGGCTGATGCATCCCTTTTTGTCTCTGACTAACACAACCCCTGTTCTTGTCTCATCAGTGCACTCCATCATTCTGCAGATGACCACACGGGAAAGGAGAGTGAGCTGAAGAGGTTGGCCTAGTTGCATGGAAACATACTGCTGGTTTCCATCCCGGCAGGAAGCAGCACTGGTAATTGAAGGGGTGGAACTCCTGCATGTAAACCATTATCACTATAATGCTCTCTGGCACAATGAGAACTGCAGTGCTGACAGGGAGGTTTGCTGTTGGAGGTTTCTGGTGGCTTTTGGGGTTTTTTTTTTGCCAATTCCCATTTTGCATATGCATGCAGGTTTGATTCACATGCAAATATGGATGTGCGCATTTCTGCAGGGGGGAGAACATGAGCAATCAAAAGGTCTGAGGCAGAACTGTTTCACTGTTTCTTATGTAAAGAGCAAGGAGGACAAAGACGATCAAGAACACACTGCATCTTTAGACATCACATGATACAGCCTCAGAAGTGCCCTGGTTTTGGTCAAGAAGCTATTAATCTTGTCTTTGGCTTCTCTTTTTACAAGAGCCCAACTCTGTTGTTATTTCAGTTTGCCTAATGATGATCCATACCTCCATCAGTTCCTCCTGGCATCACCCACAACACTAACAAGCACAGCCACAGCATCCTGGCTGGGTTTAGCCCTGCGGTTCAGCCACTGCTGCACACATGGAGTTATTGGAATGACACTGAATTTACTGATAGAAATAATATGCTGTGACAGTGTTTTCATTTACACTGCACTCCGTGCTGCATGGGTCACAATTTACAGGAAGTTCACCCTTTCAGTACAAACTCAACAGCTATTTCTCTGGGTTTTAATCTAATCCAAACATTCCAAGTCCAAGGCTTCCGAATTTAAACCATTCCTTTCATGCAGGCTTTTGAGACTGTGAATTTTTGTACTGTTGCTCAACCTCCAAGATGACAGTGGGGAGGTTTGCAATAAATACTTGATTTTATTTCTGATGATAGCAGCTAAAAGCATCTAACATTTGAGCTTGTTAATCAACAGCACTACAGGACTTCAGATACGATCTTCTTTAACCTTCCTGAACAAACAATTGTGAGCATCTACATTTTCTACCAGATGGAAAACAATTCGCCAGGTCCGATGCTTTTCTAAATGTCTCATCTGGAGTCACTGAAACAGGAAATTTCAGACCTAAGTCCCACTGAGGGGGGAAGTAGAGGGTCAGAAAATACAATGAGAAAAATCACTGAAGATCTCTGACTGGAGATGTATTCAGTTTTAGGGGGGAATGGCAGTCCTGCTGCACTGGAATTGAAAATACATTTGGTTTTAAACAACTGAATGTATTTTAAAACATTTCTCCCCAAAGCCCTGTATCATACCAGCAACAAAACCAAAACACACTTCATTTAAAACTTTACAACCCATCCAGTGAAAGGGGAAATTCTTGTTACTCCTTTCTGCTCTGAACCAGGTTTTAGCAACAAACAACATCATCATCTTACTCAGTACATCTCTTCCACATGTGTTTGAGTCATATCTGGTTTCTCTACCAACTAGAAATATCTATTTCCTTTCAAAACACTAACCTCCTCACAAGATGTAGTTGGAGATTGTAAGCTAGAACTTGTGGGGTCTCACAAGGCAGCTGTTAAAGAAAACTATAAGGGCTTTTCACACACTGAAAAGTGTGTCAGAGGGGAAAAAACCTGCCTAATTTTCAGCTCCTACACCAAGAGTTTCACACTGGCACAGGAAGGGTCAAGAAATCCCATTTTCAGATATGAAAGGCATGAAGTGAGTCCACTGAAAAGAGATGAATCCTTAGAAATGGAACTGCTATTGTTATCTTTCAAGCATCATTTTTAATACTGTATACACGTATCTGCCAACAGCACCAAAACCCAGGAGTTTTCTGTAACAAGGGTTTATTGCATTGGTAGGCCAACATTTCCCTATCACCACAGGGAAGAATGTCTGGGATGTCTGTTCGGTCTACTTAATCCTGCCATAAAAAGCAGGAGCATCATTGGGGATTATCTAGAAAAGGTGCTTATCCTGTAACACAATCCTTAGTCCTGGTTCACTTTCCAAACATGAATTTCATCTCTTTTTGTAATAAAGAAAAGGAAAAAACAGCACGAAAAACCACTTCAGTGATTGGTCACTTACCACTGCCCAAGTCGACAAACAAATCATCCTCTGTCATTTTAATTTCATCTATCATTTGGGCCACTAAGTCAAAGGAAGTTTCTCCGTAAACCTCTGGGGAAAAGGGCTCATAGTTGTTCAGCTTCTCAGGATCAGTCACCGAGTGGTTATACACCTGCTGCAGGATGTGCCGGAGGAGCCCGTTGGAGGGACGAGTGTTCAGTTTCATCGGTTGGGTGGTTCCCTTCCACTAAAGGGAAAGAGCAGGAAGAAGAGATGAGCACAATGCAAGTACGAGGAAACATCACCACGAGGCTGCACTGGCATAATGCAGAATAGAGGCAGAGGAAAGACGTTCTAGCAGGGCCTGTTGTGACAGGATGAGGAGTGATGGTTTTAAACTGAAAGAGGGACATTCAGGCTGGATGTGAGGAAGACATTCTTTACAGTGAGGGTGGTAAAACACTGGCATAGCTTGCCCAGAGAGGTGATGGATGCACCATCCCTGGAGACATCCAAGGCCAGGCTGGATCTGATTCTGGGCAACCTGATCTAGGTGAAGATGTCCCTGCTCATTGCAGGGAGGTTGGACAAGATGAACTTTGAAGGTTCTATCCAAACCATTTAGGATGCTACCATTCCCTCTCATCCCCTCCCTCACTGGGATGCTCTGCAAAGACAAAACCAGTGAACACCACTAAAGAAATCACATAACAAAGACTGTTCTGTATTTTGCCTCACCTCAACCAGCATACGATTTTAAATATACCTGCTAGAAATAGGTGGGAAAGGGGAAATTAAAGAGATATAAAAATCAATAGGCTGTGTAGTGTAAAGCTTAATACCAAATATAGTTGGAGTAGCTGTAAAAGCCTGTTCACTCATCTCTTTATGTACTGACCATCACTGAACTGATGTTGACTGCATTGTCCACAGTAAGAACAGTTCCTGTTTCTTTCAGGAACTGTAGGATGGGAGGGATCTATGTACTCAAACAGGGAGTGGCAGGAAAGAGATGGAAATCAAGCTTCCTTTCTTTCCCAGAAAAAAACCCTGTCCTATCCATAAAAGGTGTTTTTATAATGATCCCTTTGATAAGGAAAAACAAACAAAACAGGGACAACTGCAGGATCCCACCTAAACACTCCTCTGCTTGAGGTTCAAATGGCAAAGCCAAAATGAAACCCATCAGGTCTGTGATCTCAGTCAGTAACTGCAAATGCTGATTAGCTTACGATTTTTAGCTACTACCCAACATACACATGAAGGCGCTGAACCCAAACAAGCACAAGTTTTAGGCAGTTGTAGGCCCATAAAACAAAGGAAAGCCTGGCAAAAATACCCTTGTTCCCATATAATGCACATTTCAAGTAAGTCCCTCGAGCACAGCAGAGCAATAAAGCCACGTATATTTTCAAACTCAAACAGAATAGTAACATTAAGTCACTGCTTGTGTTTTGCTTCCTCCATCTCAACCATTTATAGGGGTAAGAAAACCTAGAAGCTATAAGGCACAGATTTCCTTGTATAAAAGAAAATCTGTATGATAAATTCCTTTGAAACATCTAGACATTAAATGCAGAGAAACCTTTTGTTCCCCCTGAAGGTTTTGGCTACTTCAAAGTGCCAAAAACATGGTGCTGGAAGCAAGCACTCAGGACCAATAGGTTAAAATCTGCACTTTGGAGGGGAAAATTGTTATTTTTTTTCTTTCCTTCCTATAAGAATGCCCCTCCAGTACTAACTGCTCAAATGCCCAGGTGTGATCAAGAAAAGAAGGTTTAATACCAGACTTCCTAAGTCCTCAAAAGAATGGAAGTGCTGAAGAGTGGTGTTACAACTGACTACCGCACACAATCCAGCCCTAAGTCACTGCCTTCTGGGTATCATTCACTGCTTGTGAATTCCAACCAGCTGGATAAAGGTTGACGGTGGTAACAAAGGTAAATACATACCAACTGGTGAATGCTATCGATGGCTCGGTTGTACTTGTCACAAAGCCTCTGCATGCTCTCAAAGCTACAGGGGGAGAAAGAACACGGGGTCAGTTAAAACCAGAGCTCTAAGTAGGTGGTTATTTAGGGTTTGTCTCCTGCAGAACGTAATATTACACACACAGCTTTAGGACTTTGTATACAGTTTCCTTTATAAAAATTCCCCCATAGTCCAGGAGAACAGGAGAATTCCTTAATTAATGGAAAAAAGACCGAACTCAAAGTATGGTTAATTAGGAAGTTTTGTATTCTCACAGACCATTATTTCTTTTCCATATGCTCAGCTGCACAGAACATCTGTAAATTCTTCTCCTTTGTTCCATCATCTCTCCAGGATAACCAGTCCTAGAAATTAACTCTGGAACTGAAGCTGCAGACAGAGCCAGGACACAATCTAAAATGTCACCCATTAGGAAAGCACGCTGATTGCCTCACAGGCTGCTTGGGATTACAGGCAATTCAGGCAGATGCCTTAATGACAGAAGCTGAGAGGATTAAATAAATTCATCTCAGGCCAGGGAAGAAAAGATATTATTGGGAACATCATCTGTTAAGTAATCAGACCACAAAGCAGCAGCAAAAAAACAATACAAGGAGTTACAGGAATCATGGCCATCCCCAAATCCAGAGAGGGGCCATCTCAAGGAAGTGGCTCTTCAGTCTCTTGTGATCCTCATCACTGCTATACTCCTCTACAAGTACTGCTGACTCCCACTTCAAGCTTTCAACTGCCCCTGCTTATTTCCATGTTAAGACAAAGCAAGAGGCTGAAATGGGTTTTTGCCTGCACAGCACATGCATTTCCTCCACATCCATGTGGCAGTCTATCTGCTACAAGTAATTTTTCTGATGCCTTTTTTCAAAGGAAGTATAAAGACTAAAGAAAGCCATTTAGCGCAGTTACAGGTTTATGACTTCCTTGAAAAGCTGCAGAAAGGTGAGCAGGGTGTGACTTCTGGGAACAGATGGGTTTCTCTTCTACTGTTGCCAACCACACTGGCACTGCCTAATTAAACATGCCCAGTGAGGATGGCAGAACTACAGAAGTTACAGCATTGCAGTCACTGGGAGTAAGCCACAAATCCCAATCAATAGATTTGATGACAAGGGATGCTTGACCCCGATTTCTCCTTTTGATCTCTCAAGAGGAAGAGAGGGACTAACAAGTCTTACAATGAAACAATTAAAACATAACTAAGAGAGGAGGAAAGCAATACCTCAGATCATGATTCAAGTCTGGGGCTCAGAGCAAGAGCCAGTGATTAATGACAGTGATTCAGTTTCATCTGTAAGCCTCGTTCTGTAAGTTCAGTCATGCTGTGGACTTGCAGAAATTCAGTCTTTCCCATGAATACAATGAAGGAGGTTTTTGTAAGCTGCAGCTTGAGGGTCATCTCTTTCTCCAGGCTCAGTACAGCCAAGTCAACACACGGAATCTCAGGCACAGATACACCTCAGGTCAGACTGCCCTGCTCAGCCTCAAGGCAAATGCCACATACTCTACATTCATTTTCAGCTGTTTGTGGAACAGGTACTAAGTGTAACTACAAGCACCTTAAAATTACTTCTTACTCTCCACAAGACCAGTGTGAATAGTCGGCCTTTTAATTTAGCCCCTCACCCAAAGAGCATCCCACTTGCACTGAGTCTAGAGGAGGGATGGGGAAGGTTATCCTCCCACAGGCACGACGCTGACTGACAGTGCCATTTTCTAAACAGGAATTCTGAGTTACTACAAACGTAGAAACCTCCGTGCCATTCACATTCCTAACACTGGACACAGTCCAACAGCGCAGATACCGATCATTGTTTCGGAGTGAGTAATTCCAACGTACACCAGAGCTCAACTCTACTGTGTGGAGTTTCCAATTATGTCCTTAATCCAACAGCCTTTGCCAATATTGCTGTTACACATTTCCTACCAAAATAACTCTGCGGAGTCTGAAGCCAGCTCTAAAAGAAAACTGCAGTTCATAGTGTCTAAGAATAACCAGTTACAAACTGATTCATTATAAACCGCGTTGACCTGTCCTCCTGGTGGGAAAAAAACTATTCCTCTCACCTTTTTGTATCATAGTCAATTAAAACGTAGTTTTCCATGGCAAGCTTGAGATCTGGGATTTCTTCACAGACCCACCTGAAATGAGAAAAGAAATGACAGCATCTCCAATGAAGTATAACAAGGCAATCTGCCTCAATTCCAGAGTGGCATCGCTATACATTAAGACTGCAGCAGAGCTGAAAGACCACACTATTGTCAGGAGTAAGGCAGACATCCCAACTTGCTGATTGGAAAGCTGCAGGAGTTTGCATGTGTGTTGAATAAGCAGTAAGGTGCCCATAGACACTGGCACCAGTATAAAGCTCTTCAAATGGCACAACTCCAAAACAAGGTGATAAATGTAGTAAATGCATGTCAAAATACTGAAACTCGTGGCTGATGCTAATCTAACATAAAACATAATGCAGAAGAATGCTGCTGCTGGAACAAGCTTTGACAAAGCTGAATTTGGAGAAGATGCTTCCTGCAGCACACCAAAAGAATGCCAGTAGCCACTGTAAGGATATTCTCCTCCATGTAGTGCTTTAAACCACTTTTACACCTTAAATAACCCAACCTGAAACAGACTTTAGGATTTGGATTAAAAAATCTCTTTGACACACCGAGTTAGTAAAACCCTGTATAGAGCTGCCATTAGAAATGGACAGTGCACATCTACTTCCAATGCACCTGACAATGGCATCTCACAGAAGAGATCTCCACCCTTGGAAGGTAGGAAGAGTAACTCCTCTCAGAGATAACTTAGAAGCCACATAAGCTTTGCCCACACGTTCCTCCAAAAGCGTCAAAGAAACCTCAGAGCAAATCACTTAATGAATTCCAATATGGACAGCAGTTTCTTCTTCACTCACCTTGACACATGCTGCACTATTAAATCAGTGAAGAAATAATAATGACTAGAGCTCATTCTGGTCATTTTTGGCCAAGAAAGGTTGGACCATATGATCCTTAAGGTCCTCTCAAACCTCATAGTCTAGGATTTCCCTAAAAAAAATGTTAGGGCTCTAATCTCCACAAGTTTTTTTCTCTTGAATTACAGGAATGGGCACTCAACAGGCCATCATCTACCATGGCTTGAAGAGATAAATGCAAATACCTCTTTGCATTCTTTTACCCACCGCTTTCCTAACCACATACGAGTTACTTCACAAAGGCAGCATGAAAGCCCTCTTAACACATTGTGTGCACTGCAATCAGGCTTAAACCATGGTTGTGAAACATTCCTTTGGCCCAACTGCCTGTGCTGGGAAATGCTCAGACTTCCTACTCTTCATATTAGTCTTTCACCTTTATCCTCCCGTTTTCCCCTTACTGGTGAACTCTATCAGCAGGATGAAGAGGACATCATTCCCAAATAATGCAAATTCCTCAGTGCTGCGACTTCACAGCAACAGGGGGAGAGGAAACGGTTGGGAAGAGGATGTGCAAGACCAGAACTTAACACATCATGCCAATGATGTTCTCTTAGCCTTGCTTTTCTCAAGATCAAGTACAGACTGCCACAAGCACCAAAGCTGAATATCACTGTATCACTTACCACTATAATCCTGTTCAAAAGAGCATAGAATATGGCAAATTTAAACAAAGTCCACTTGACAAGGAGATTTGCATTGCAACAGTATCAGTTCAGCTCAGAAAATAATTTAGAGCTGCTAATTTACAGTTATAACTGCTGCCCTCCTTTATACCTTGTCTCAAGATACCCAGGCACTGGGATGCAGCAAGACAGAGGGAAGGGTTCTCGCCACGTCTGCCTTGAACACTTACCGAATTGTCTCAATAATTTCATGAGCAGCATCATGGTGTTTGTCCTGAAAGAGAAAGAAAAGATGTTTTCAAAGACACATCCTTGTGCTGTTTACCCCAACGTTACAAGAATCACAATCCTTTCAAGAGTACAGGTGGTGAGCATGCTAGCAAAGGAGACTTTGATTGCCACCCAAGCCATTAAACCCATCAAACGATCCCTCCCACAAAATTATAAGGCCTAATGAAATACATTTCTCAAGTTTCTATGGACTAGCAGAAGATTTACATGAAGGAACTGTCATTCTACTGATTTCTTTGTCACTTCCTGAAATCAGGAATTGTGTAGCTGATACCCTTGGTAGGCAGTAGGCACTTGACTGCAAGTTCCACAAAGAACAGCTGATTTCATGGCCCTAGCATCTGGTACATGCTCCCATCTCCATATGGACACTAAGTTTCTAGCACAGTGAATGGCTTTCTAAAATAAAGCATCAAATCAACAGTAGGAGTGGAGATCAGCATAGGAAGAAACACCCCCACAGCACACACACGCACACACACACAAAGGAGGCCCAAGTACACAGAATAATGCAGCCCTTTTCACGACCTAAAACCCAAACCACGCATGCACAAGTCACATTCAGACTTGTGCATTACAAGTATCCACCAGACGGTGAGGCACAGCTCTGTTGACTTCCATTTGGGAGTTTACTCAGGAGCAACAGAAGCCCAGGTAAGTTTGGCACAAGCCATTCCCAACTCGTGCTAATGAAGCCCTGGGAGGTACATGTAAGATACGCACCATGCCACAGAAAAACTGGGAGTTACAAGGGGTTTTGTATGTATTGTTGCATCCAGCTTGTGAAGCCTCAGTCACCAGACTCCATCTGCACAAAGCTGAGGTTTATTTAGTGACTCTGTTTCTTGTAGTGGCTTTGACTTTCTATTAGAAGTCCAGCATCTAAGGACCTTCCAGAGCTAGAAGCGTAAAGGCTCGGTCATTCTCAAATCACTCCCCTTGTCTTCTGCTGCAGAAATGTCATTTCTATGGAGTTACTGGGGAGAATTCCATAGCAAAGGGTGAGACAGGCAACAGAAAGCAGGGGACGGAAGGGAATGGAAAAGAGAAACACTAATGGACAGTTAGAATCATAGAATAGTTTGGATTGGAAGGGATCCCCCCAAAGCTCATCCAGTCCAACCCCACATCTTCACTTAGATCAGGTTGCCCAGAACCACATCCAGCCTGGCCTTGTATGTCTCTGGGGATGGTGCATCCACCACCTCTCTGGGCAAGAAGCTATGCCAGTGTTTTACCACCCTCACTGTAAAGAATGTCTTCCTCACGTCCAGCCTGAATGTCCCTCTTTCAGTTTAAAACCATCACTCCTCATCCTGTCACAACAGAACCTGACAGAACGTCTCTCCCCATCTTTCTTACAGGTTCTTTTTAAGAACTGGAAGGCTGCAATAAGGTGTCCCTGGAGTCTTCTCTTCTCCAGGCTGAACAAGCCCAGCTCTCTCAGCCTTTCCTCACAGGAGAGGCGCTCCATCCACCCCATCATTTTTACGGCCCTTCTCTGGACCCCCTCCAGCAGGTCCATGTCTTTCCTGTACTGAGATCTCCAGAACTGGTGACAGAAAACAGCTGGGAGTACATCTCTCTTCAAGACATACAAGGACATGAAAAAAGCCTTTTCCATCAGTATCACAGCTTTCACATTTGCATGAGGAAACAGATTTCTCCTTGTATAATTAGTTTGTATACTTGGGATCAGCCAGTCTTCTAGAAGTTCTCATTCTGAGCAACACAGCCTTTTAGATACCCGATTAAAAATCTCATGACTGAGAGGAATAGGAAGGCAAACATTTCTGAAGTCTGCCATATTAAAGGTGGGAAGGAACCTATTTGATTAGGAACAGCTTTTGTTTTCAGAATGCAAAACCCCTGCATGGAGGAGTCACACAAGAGACTAATGAAAAGATCACAGAATCCCAGGCTGGTTTGGGTTGGAAGGGACCTTAAAGCTCATCCAGTTCCAATCCCCTGCCATGGGCAGGGACACCTTCCACTAGAGCAGAAAACCAAAACATTCCAGTTACTACATCCAAAAGGAGGAGCAGCCAACAGAAAAGCAGCGAGGACACTCGGGATGGAATGCAGGAAGCTGGGTGTTAACCTTGGTGCTGTTTCATACCAACACGCCAATGCCATCCGTCACAAACCACGCAGAACACACCTGGCGCTGCGCCTGCTCCCGTCTCTGGTGTTCACTCAGGATGTGGGCTGGGACAGCCCAAAGCCAACAGAAACCAACAGCACCAATAAGCTCCCCCAGCTGAAGCTCAGAGCGCCGGGTAAGTCATTCTAACAGGGAATCTTGGCCTAGAAAAGAGGGCAGCAACTGGGCTCAACCCTGCTCCTCACCGTCAGCACCCATCTAGGAGAAAAAGCAGACAGGAGAGGACTTCTCTTTCTTTCTGTTTAACTGTGAAGTACAAAACTACCCAAGAGAGTGGCTCATCCATAAACATCCCCTATAAATCTTCATGTTTCGCTACACACAGTTATCACAGTAGAAGCCCCTTAGGCTGATCCAGCTCTCCCAGTAAACTCTGTTCCTGTACAGTAAGAATCTGCTTTATCAACATAAGCACATTATACCGGAAAAGTGAATTCATGCTTATTCTGGCATAACCGTTTTCTCTGAAGAAGTTATATTCTTCACTGATGGTACTGGGCAGCTTCAGTGCTCGCAGAACACACAGAGAAACCCCTTGTCCTATAGGGCTTCATGAAAACGCCCCATAAACGGCCAAAGCTGCTTAATCAGCAGATTCCTTTGTCTTGGGTCAAAAGTGAAAAAGGAAGGTAAAAAGAATAAGAATAAATCCCAATGCACATTTACAGATCATCCCATTTAAGCAAGTGGATTTATTAACACAACATCATGTGGAAATTGGAGCCAGAAAGGGCCTTTCCAAGTTTAGCTTGTGCCATTATCCAGGCATAATGAAGTTGAAAACAGTTCCACATTTACTGCTGCTAAACTTCTCATGTTGAAACACTTACAAAGTTTACAGTACTCTATAACTAACATACTTTGTCCTAGTTGACAGGCTCCCAAGATCTCATGCAAGTCAGAGACGATGTAACATTTCTTCAAAGCGGACACAGCCATGGAAAATGGAGGGGGAAAAAGGGGGAAAGAGATCTAAAGGAAAGCCAGAACAGTTTCCCCTCCTTTAGAGAACCTTTTAGTCCCATTTCCACATTATGGTTGGAAGATTTAATAAGAAAAGGCATTAAACAGCACCAGTCATCACATCTGTATTCATGCAATTGTTTATGACGCTGATATAGTCTTCAGCAACTCAAAACACAAGTTCAATAGAAACCTCACCAAAACCACAGACTCTGCTCCCACCAGCATCAGCCTTTGTCCAGCATCCTTACAAGCAGATGCACTGGGTTTGGCCAGACACGCAACTGAGCTCAGTGCAGCAGCTTTAACCTGAAGCCTTTTACAACCCCATGGGTGAACACTGAAACCAGCAGGCTGGGAGGGACTGGTGGCAATTCCTGATGGCTCTGCTGTAATCACAGCACTCTGACAAACCTACACCCACCTCAGCTAACAAAGCACACTCGGAGATCATGGCTTGGGCCAGAAGAGACCTTGAAGCTCATCCAGTTCCAACCCCCTGCCACGGGCAGGAACCCCTTCCACTGGAGCAGCTTGCTCCAAGCCCCTGTGTCCAACCTGCCCTTGAACACTGCCAGGGATGGGGCAGCCACAGCTTCTCTGGGCACCCTGTGCCAGCACCTCAGCACCCTCACAGGGAAGAACTTCTGCCTAAAATCTAATAAAGATGGCCTCAAGCTTCTCAAATTCAGACACGGTTTTGGGGTTTAGGAGCCCTGAAGGTTGGGGGCTTTTCCCTTTTTCAGGCTGCAGGGACCCATGACCAACACCAGCATGCCAGCTACACCTCTAACACAGGCAGGTTATACAAGCCCGTTGCGTTATACTTCAGCAAACAGGGAGCCATGAGAGCACAGCTTTACACTGTATCTGCATCCGTACTCATAGCGCTTTGTCAGTAAAATATCCTGGTAAAGAGCCTCCTACAAACAGCCTGGCTATCAATCATGAAAAACTGTGCAGAAGCCTTTTGGATGAGTCTCAAGGAGCGTATCTAGTCTGTCTGCAGTCATGAGATGATGCCACGGTACTCTGTGTCATGGAGTTCCATTCATCCTCCAACTCTGCTCCAAGCTGTTCTCCCACCCTCCTCCCTTACACACTGATGTGAAGCATACTACGTGCTGCTCATTGGCCTGGCCGTACTTCTGCAATGTTCTTGTATTTATGTAGTCTGAGAGGCCCTCAGAACCTTTTGAGCTCCATAAATGGAGTCTATTTCATGAGACCTTATCTCTTTAATGTGGTCTATGCCCTAAGTATTTGAAGTAAAAAGTTGCAGTCTGTAATAATTATTGAGAATACCTAAAGCTATTCCTAACAAGTTTATTTATATTAAAAAAACTAAACACACATTAAAAGCCAGTTCTTGCAGTTAGTTCTCTCAAGCTGAACTTTACAGTAAGTTCTTCTTTTCAACCTAAAAGTTCCATTTAAAACTGAAACGTGAGCTCCCACAGCAAGTTCAATGGTTTTTGCCAAGACACCTCCTTGGGAAAATGATGGAAAGAAAGCAGACATTTTTTCCAAAAGTCACTTACAAGGGAATCCAATTTTCTATGGAAAACAGTGGAGAAGAGTCAGCCAGAACAACTGAGCAGCTTCGCAGTTCCGATTCTTACACCGGATTTCTCCATTCACATGTTACTACAACTCTAATCGCGGGCGTTAGGAGCTTGAAGCCAGCAACACACCCACGGCTATTACTTGCAGTACACTAGTGCCCAGAAGCCCTACCAGCCTGCACGACTCCTGGTACGCCCCGTGCCAAGCAGAGTGAGTCCTCCTGCAGAGATCAACGAGCTGCATTAGCAGTTTGGCCCTTTAGGACATGGGAATTAGGCCAATTTTTAGGA